AGTTTAACCTCTATATTGAGCAAATACAAATGCCAGCATAATAAAAGTGAAATGCCCAGACTTCACATATAATTATTTTTATTTGCCAACAATGTGTTCAAACAAAAATCCTGGAATTTATTTTCCAGTAAATGCCCACTGACGGGTCTTCATGTTAGCAAAATCACTTATGAGATCTTTAAAGTCCAATCCTTTGGCTAATTGGCTTTCAATAGAAAGAAGAGCTAGGCTGTTCAGTCTATCCTGGGACATTGTTGATCTCAAATAATTTTTCACCAGTTTCAGTTTGCTAAAAGCCCGTTCACCCCCAGCAACAGTCACAGGTAGTGTGCAAAATATCCTCAGTCCAATACAAACTTCTCCAAAAATGCTCTGTAATTGCATCCTGTAAGGCATTAAGCAGCTCAAGAGGAGACCGAATGTGTGGGAATGTGGCACCATATATTGTTCTCAGGTGTAGCATCTCATTCTCAAATTCAGCTGTGAGATCCTTGTAATATTTTCTCATCAGTGCCTGGCATGATATCTTCATCTGCTCTTCAGTCATGTTTGTCATGGTTCGTGATGTTAAGCTTTGCTAATACTGATATATCTTGATATATTAAATACATATGACATGAAATAAACCAGGTTCTCTCTGTGAATGTAATGTACTCTAAATTTTATAATCGCTGCATTATCAGCCAAATTATAAGATTGTCCGTTTTCAAGATCAAATATAAAGAAATTTAAAATAGGCTTAAAATATCTAACCAAGTCAATAACAATCCTCTAACACCAGTGTCATCATGCTATACGAAAAACAGTGGCAGCTTCACATTCCTGAGATTACCACGAATCCATCGATACCAAGTTTGTCCTGCTCCATGATTGGGAAGGAGCTGAAATATCCACACAGAGTGAACCTGTTTTTACTGCAAGGTCCGCGAATTAATTGGCGGCGGCCGCCCGCAATAATAATTCTGGTTAATATATATATATTAATTAGTGTTTTCACTGACAACACTAATTAATTTATATTTGATCTTGATGGTGAAACTAAAGGCGTTTAACACTGAACACCTAACATGATTGCAGCTTCTGAGAGCTAGCTAATATCAGCTAAAACTGTGTTCTGCTGCTGCTGCTCACCGTCCTTCTACTTGCTTCTTTCAATTAACTTTTTCTCCTTCTCCTTCTTTTCTTTTCTTTTCTGGAAGCCAGATTTCCCTTTCTTGGGAAAAGACATGACTGACTCCTGCCTCCAGCTCTGGCTGTCGGCATCTGCGATGTCTCATTAGCTGTATGCGGCCGTGCAGCCCCTGGCTGCGGGTGTGGACTAAACCACTTTGCACATTTTTAAGGGGTGATAGATGCCTCAGAGATTATTCAGTTATTATTTTTAAGGCGAAATTCTGTTTCTTAACCTCTTTATCCAGGTAAAGGGAAGTTTATTAAGACATTAAGTAAGTTGGGGGGAAAAAACAACAACAATAAAACATTTTTATTCAAAGCTGTCTCAGGGCCCCTCCCTGCAGTGGGCCCTGGGTAAACGGTACCCTTCCCCCCCCCCCCCCCCCCCCCCCCAGTCCGACGCCCCTGCTCACTACATCTGGATTGGTGAAGAAACTGGAAAAAGTTATGAAAAAGAAAATATAAACCACCTGGGGTCCATCTGACCCCAACAGGAGCATGTGAAGGTTATATTAAAAAATTCACTTATTAACTTATTGATTTTTGCCCTTGTTCTGAAACGTTTGGACATCCCTGCTTTGGAGCGTGCTGTCAGTGTGCGTCTTGAACAGAAAAGGGGAAAATCTGTTAAAGTCCCTCGTTTTTTGAAATTACAATGGAAAATCTGGATTTTTCAAATGAGATTGCAAATATCACTTCCAAGAAATTTAAGCTGAAACTCATCAGTAGAGTCCCTTTGAAGGGGGAATTTACAGATTTATTGTCTTTATTTATTTTTTATCTCATCTGGTCATTTGAGATGGTGTTATGTTCAAAAATCCTGTTTTTCTTTATCTGGACATCAAAACAGATTTGTCTAAACCCTTAATCTAATCCAAATGATTTTATATTTACTGACATTTGTGTAATGTCACTGCGAAATGTCCTGTTGGCTCTAACTCGTTCAACTGATTTCGTATCATAAAGCAGACAGGAAATAAATTGTCATGCTAGGAAATGCACAGCCGTTGTGTCAGATGTGATCCAAAGCTAAGGTAAAAATAAGAAGCAAAACAAACACGAAGTTTTCCTTCCCTTTGTTTTAGAGGAAGAAAGGACCAACTTCCTGTAAAGGAATGTGGATGTGATTCAGGAAGTGAGAAGTGGAACAAATCGTCCGAGACTTTCTGTGCTCATCTGACACCACGGGGCAGCTATAGGGAATGTTGGCATTTTCATTTTGACATGAGCAAAACATTACAGGAAACATAATGTTGGGAAATCCCTGCTCACACCATCGGCCATCTTTTTAATCAGAGAGTACGTTTACTTTCATATGAACATTTATGAGGACATAGTTTAATTTTCTTTATGTGAAGACCTGCTTTGATCATTACAAGGTTACCATAATGGGGTCAGAATGTGAAATCAGAGTCATCCCCCACCTACAGTTCAGCCTACACGACTCAAAAACACAGCGGGAAACCAAAGCATGAGTACTGTAAGGTGACTCAGTTCATTTCTGTCCCTGTTGCCTGCGGCAATGACTGCCGTAACCTCATCAGACCCTGAAAGTGTGACTTGACTCAGCCTGATGTGGTTAACTGAAGGGGAAAGTTAGTAAACAACCACCTGAAGCCAGCGCCGAGTCGAGCTTTCTCCCCCACATTCTGTATCCTGTTGTTGAGATCACACTGAGCGAAAACGAAGCTAAACTCTTTTTGCATGTACTCAACAAAAGTGTTCCCATTGTTGTGCATCATTCTTTTGTTGTGAAGGAATTTTGATATTTTCCATCCATATCCTGACGTTTTGTATACATTTTCATGCAAATATGACTTTTTGACCCAAAACAAAAGTTCCTTGTTGAAGAGATTCTCAGATTATTGTAGCATGGTGCTGTAATAAAATGGTTTGTGAAATTTCAAACAATTCCACTGATAGTGATCAACACTTGTAGACTTTCTCTGTGTTTACTATAAAGGTCAAACTGAGTTCATTTTAAAGAGATAGTGCAGATATTCTGACGTACGTTTCTGTGGAAAGGTTGTTGACAATTTATATCTCATCTGTTGTAGATAGCTCTTTGAACAACTTCAGTTTGGAGAAATATAGATTTAAGGCCAACATCTCTGTCTGTAGTACAGAGACACGCGACGCCAGTAGCCGTCATCGCAAAGGCTCTCCAACAGGCTCGCAGGGACGGACTGAGCCTAATTTTAAATTTTAAAGCCTAATTTATGCTTCTCCATCTGCATTGGTTCGGAGACACACAACGCCATTATTTGTCATTGCGAGGACCAATGGAGTAACGCCCACTTTTCTAAAAAATCCATCAAACGAGATGAAGATCGCAAGCTTGTGATTGGTCAGGATGCTGCTTCCTATATCTTTATCAATAGCACATCCATTGCACCCTCAAAAAATTAAGAGACCAGAAGGTATTTAGCGACAGAGACGGAGCAGCTTGAAGAAAACCTCCAGGAAAAGCTTGAAATATGAACATTTAATCAGTCACCCGTTACTGGAGAAGTATAATGATACACAGCAAGCATTTTATACGTGAACATAAATGACAAGAAACGTGGAACTGGAGGTGGGGAGCACATGAAGAGGTGGAGGAGAATGGATGGACAGATGTGTCTTTGTTAAAAAGACTCTGAAACACAATGTAAACAACAAAACAGTAAAAGCACAACTCTGGAGTGGATAAACGACTGTAATGATGGCAGGATACCCCAGAAAACGCCCTCTGTTGTCCTGGCGGGGAATTGCTTTGCAACACCCCCCGGGTTACGGAGAAGTTGGAAGGCAAAACATCTCCGTCAATGCGTGTGCGTCCCTCCGTTTCCGGAGCTGATGGAGAAGCATAAATTAGGCTGAACTCTGACCAGATTTTCCATCTGAAGGTGAGTCACAGTGGGGCAAGTTCAAACATAGATTTCTACTTTAAAACAAGAGCAATGTCTAGGTCATAACAGTTCACACTAGGGTTTCTTAACATCGTCGTAAACATTGCCACTGCTGTCAGTTTCACACTACAGAACAGTTGTGGCAGCTATAAGATATAATACCATACCTCATTTATTTATAAAGCACCTTTAAAGTTCCAGCAGCAGGGTTAAGTGCTAAACTATAGAAAATTACACTTCAAACAAATCAAGACACGTGCAGGGTGTAAAAGAGGTTTAAACCGTGACTAGAAGAGTTACTTCCTCTTATATCTGCTGTAATTAAACAACTATGTTAGCATAAATATTCATGACATAGTTCAGATTAGAGGATTCATTTTACAGGAATGCAATTTGTAACTGCAGTTACACTAAATGTGACCATGGTCCCTCTCATACTAGCCACCAGAACATCCATCTGGTTCTAAGCCATTAGAAATAGTCTGTGTTTGTCTAAACTGAGTCTGTTCAAACAACAGCAGGCAGTTTAACCCTTTCTACAAAATCCCAGTTCACACTGTAAGGCATTTATTGTTGTGCTTTCACAAAAAGGATTGATTTAATTCAATTCAATTCAATATTTACATTTGGCAAATATTTGATTTTTTTTAGTAATTAGTTAAATTCTGATTGACTTTATGTAATTATACAAACAACTTTAAAACTAAACTAGAGAGTTTGCAGCTGTGTTGGGCACAAGTAGGTGTGTGTGAACGACTAGACATGTCGGTTTGCACTGAAGATAACCCACTGATCGGGTTTCTTAAAAAAAAAGGAAAATCACGGACCAGCGTCTTCAGAAACAACGCGAGAGTCTTTAATCTGCGTGACCTTCGATCCGCTCCTTCATCAGTGCTTAAAACTAACAAACACACAAGATAGTTTATCTAGTGGAACAGATGAAAGCAGGCAAACATGTTAATCTATTTAGTGAGTTTGTGATTATTACGCCATTGTCGCTCGCGCGCCACCACCTCCAGAACGCTCGCGCTTCCTAAAACCGCGCGACGCGTGCGGCGTTGGCTTGCCATAGACCAGGAGGCGGAGACGGACCTCCGTGTAGGTGTCGAGTGTTTTCTTTAACGCGCGGACGGACGCCGCAGCTGGAAACGCTTCGGACCTTTTCTGATTGGTTGTCTCGGCCGTTTGGCGTCTTTTAACAGCAACGAAAACGCTGACGGACTGTAACGCACCTGCCGCGATGGACAAAGAGTGATCTAACACCGGTGCGTTCCTCTGCCGACAGCTGACTCTCAGTCGAAAGATCCGCTGTTTTTTAACGTCGGGTGAATGTTTAAAGCTTCCGGTTGCAGTTTGACGTTGAAGTGCACCAAATGTGCCGTTTATGGACTGCCATGCAGGCCGACGGAACCGAGCCGTAGCTAACAGGCTCGTTTAATTATAGCAGCGCGTTTTTATTTTGCTGTGGACATCCAGCTGAAGGGTGGAGATTAACCAGCCCTGTAGTGTAAATAATTAACCGTTTGTGGACCCGGAGTCCCGTTCCAGTAAGACCAGTTTGACGGCTGCCACTCAGCAGTCCTGTCTGTGGGTTCAATGTTCCTGTAAAACCAATAAGAGCAGGAAAATGTGGGTCATTCCCGAAGACGTGCTGCTGGCGGGAGCGTTATGGATCACCGAGAGAGCAAACCCGTACTTCATCCTCCAGAGACGTAAGGGACACGGGGATGGAGGCGGAGGACTGGCGGGTGAGTGCCACCTCCCTGCTGCTGGCATCATTTCATTATATATATATTTTAAAAAACAGAATTTTATTTACCTATTTTGTTGACATAAGGTGTGTTTTGGTGCAGGGCATCAGAAAAAAAATCTCTGCGAAAGAGTCAGGTGACAAATCAGCTGTGAAAATGTCCTTTCGCACCCTTCACTAATTGATTAGTCGAACTTTTTCAAACATTACGTCAAAATAAAACTCCTTCCAGGACAAAAAGCATCACACAATCAGCCATCTGATTGCAGTTTTCCCACACACACAAGATCCTGCTGTATCCTGCCTGGTTAACCCAAACAAAGACCACTGCCTTGTTTTTATGCTGCTGCTAGCTGCAGAGCCTCAACAACAGTGGATCTATTTGACAACAAGTTAAAACACAGTCTGTCTGCGTGTTCATGCTGAATCATTCCCCTTCTTCCCCCTCTCACTCCTCCTCTGCTCATTGGCTAACTCCATCCGAAATGGGTCAAGAAACAGCAGGAGGAAGAGTAGTCAGGTCATTAAAAGGACTAGCCAAAGTCCACATTTGAAAGCTTGATGTCCTGTTTTGTCTCTGGTTGTGAAATGTGCTTTTCACTGATTTGTCCCATAAGTTTAACACCTTTGAGAAACTCTGGACTCTACATATTCTGGCATTTCAATACATTCACATGTAAAAAATGCAGTGTAGCCTCTGAATTAAACAGGAAGTGATGCTTCTTTTTATACTTTGGTTTCATTTGGATAAATGATGAGGAATTCTCACTTTTAGCGTCTTGATGTTAAAGCTAACTGACAACAGCAGCATTTGAAGAGGAAAACTGATGCTGAATTTTCCAGATGTTCACTGTGGGTGTCTGGGGCTGGGGGGCTGCTGCCCCCCTCTGGAGGTACTTGAGTTGCCTCAGAGGGTCGACTACTGACTGTTGTGAGTGGGGCCCCCTTGGGGGTTCTCAGCGGCGGCCATGGGTTGCTGCATCGCCCCTGAGTAGGTCTGGGTGGGGGCCTGGGGGCTCGGGGTGTGAGAGCGGCGGGCCGCATGTGAGGGTCTGGGCGGGGACTTGGGGATGGGGTCCTGACTCGTAAGCTGCCGGGAAGAAGGCAGGAACAAGCGGCAGTGCATGGCCCAGGCTTAGGGGCCTCAGGTGGACCTTGACTCCTCTGAAATAATAACAACACTGTCCCATCACAGGGGAGGGGGATGTCCAGGAGGGCGAGGACCCAACCTTTACTGGATGTCTCATGTCTTATATATTCTGGAAGTTGCGCAAATGCAAGGATGGGATTAGATATTCTGCTGGGGTGCCGCTGGGCTGGTGCCCTCAGACTCCGTGGAGCTCTGCGATGCTGCTGCTTTGGGCCCTGGTGAGATGGGCTGGGGTCTCGATGCCCTGGGGAGCATTTTGGGAACAGAGGTGCCTATTGGGGCCAGTGGGGAAGCTTGCTTCCTGGAGGGCTTAGGCCAACCAGCCATTCCCACACATTTTTCTCCTCCAGCTCCTTCACATCATCACAGTCATGCACAAAGATGCTTCTAGAAGTGCTTCTATTTTACAAAAACATACAGTTTCCTTACTTATTTAAAGCTGTAATTTGAATTTAAAATCTTCTATTTCTGATTTATTTAATATTCTCAAAAAACTGGTTACATGTAAATCATAGGGTGATTTTTCCCGATTAGTTCCGACACTGCATGATTTTAGTCATAGGTCTGCTCTTTGGTCATGGCTGGCGGTGTGAGCTTCTCACAGCACAAATCTACGGACACTCACGACCAAACATTTTTCTCATGATTTTTTTCCACAAAAACGTGTCTGTGTGAACCCAACTATTGGAGCTGGATTGATATCAACACAGTGGCTATATTTGGAGGTCTTTAACACTGTTTTCACTTTACTGTTAACAAAACACTTTTCACACAGTCGTTTTTAGCTTCCTATCTTGGTGTTTGTGTGCCAACACTCCTCTCACACTTCACATATAGGAGTCGACAACTGCAGACAACTTTTATACCCAATTATGGAGGAATCATTAGTTTATATGAGGAAAAAGTATTGATATGAAGCAGATAAACAGTGGTTAATATTTAAAGGCCCTATTTCGTGCAAAATCTACTTTTTGTAGCTTTCGACCATGTTTTATTAATTTGTCATGAGGAAAACCCTTACGCACTGGTTTTCCTCTTCACACATGCATCCAGGGACTCTCCAGTCCAGATCCCTCCTTCGCTGGACTGTAAACACTAACATCCAGTCTCTCCATGTAGCTAGCAGGGAGTTTCATTTCCATATTTGTGAAGAAGTAATTTCATTCTCATCTTGTCTGCATTTTAAGTAATGCCTAGACCCACAGTACAGGCCAAAAGTTTGGGCACACCTCCTCATTCGGTGTGTTTTCTTTATTTTCATGACCATGACCATTAACAAAGGGGCCAACCAATGCTAAATACTTCTGGGAACTCCTTCTAGACTGTTGGAAAACCATTTCAGGCGACTACCTTTTGAAGCTCATCAAGAGAATGCCAAGAGTGTGCAAAGCAGTAATCCGAGCCACGGGTGGCTATTTAGAAGAAAATAGAATATCAAATGTTTTCAGTTATTTCACCTGTTTTGGTGAAGTACATAACTCCACATGTGTTCGTTCATAGTTTTGATGCCTTCAGTGAGAATCTACCATGAAAATAAAGAAAACACATTGAATGAGACAGATGTCTCCAAACTCTTGGCCTGTACTGTATATTTGCGATAAGTAAAGGATCCCTGTCCAGTCTTTTAAAGAAATGGTTGGATTTTATATTTTGGACACAGACTGCTTGCTAAACCAAAGCCAGTGCTGGAGTGGGTTGTCAACGCCACTGAAATGTTAATATCACCTGAGAAACCATCAGGGCTGCACAGTGGCGCAGTGGTTGGAGCTGTTGCCTTGCAGCTAGAAGGTCCTGGGTTCGCTTCCCAGCCTGGGATCTTTCTGCATGGAGTTTGCATGTTCTCCCTGTGCATGCATGGGTTCTCTCCGGGTACTCCGGCTTCCACCCCACCTGATTGCCCATTGACCGCTGGCGATAGGCACCAGCCCCCCCCCCCCCCGGGGGTGGGTGTGCGCATTTAGCAACTTGGACACCGGGAAATGTCACAGTGCTCTTGGTGGCTTGTTCGCCACAAGTGTGTGTGTTGCCACAGCTGCTCTCTTCTTTGCGACCCATCCATGACATTTTGCTGGGGATCTGGGTTTACATTATGCAATAGATGGAATTCACACAGGGGAGGCAGGATTTGTCTTTTTTCTGAGTTGAAGGAATGGCTCACAAAAATAACTTGTATTTCATAAAAAATGGCATCTTAAAAGTTTCGAGAGTAAAGTTTTATCACATATTGTGTATCACTTTGGAAGGTGTAAAACTGCATGACGCAGGACCATTAATGTTTCCATAATATAGGAGTGGACCTTTTGGCATTAAACATCGTTGCAGCATTGTGCTTTACGCCTCTTTGTGAGTTCACGCTATGGAAGTGGTGCCGGACATGATGTCACTGTTATGTAAAAGCTCAGCTTGCTGACTTGTCTTGTGGGCCAGCTGGCACGGAGCATTACCTAGCAACACTGGCACTGGCTTTGAACCTTCCTTATAGGAGGAGGGGGAAGTTGCTATCGGCACCAGGCCGTAGCGTTTGACTTAGCAAAGCTCTGATTGGAGCAGAAAGCTCCAGTGTGACAGGAAGGGGAGGCTGAAGGGGTCATTAGTGTGTGTTTGCTCCAGCAGAACACAGCAGCATCTTGTGAGAGGAAGCATGATGAGGTGTGAATACAACAGCTGCAACGGGGACTGCAGAATTATGCAGGAGAGTTCAATGGCACTGATCAAGTGTGGAGAAGACGTGATTTTCTGCTGCTTCTGAGCGTTTAGATAAAAATAATTAAGCGTGCAGCTGTCTGACTATTCCTTCCTCAGCCTGACATTCAAAACAGAGCATCCCTCCTCCATCAACATGCTCCAGTCTAGAGTTCCACTGATATTGGTTCTCTGTTGCCGATACCAATATACAGGAGACCTGGTCAGCCGATAGCCGATCTGTACCACCGATTTTCATGGGCTGATTTTCATGGCAGATATCAGTTTTCCACCTTATTTTCATGCTAAAATGAAAATATCATCGATTGATGCAAAAATTGAAGCTGAATCTGTTTTTGAACTCTAATTTAACTAAGTGTTAAATAGTAACTTTGTGCACCACTCAGTTTTAAACACCTAAATAAAATTATTCTAGGGTATGTGTATTATACGAATGTTATTGGTGAACATGCAAATCCATTTAAATTCAAATCTCCAACAGCACCGGGCTGCCCGAGGATGCGCCTGACATTAAAGCAGCTTAAGGACAAATATCAGCTAATTTGTAAAATTCCGTAAATCTCGGCCGATCTGTCTACCTCTACTCCAGTCCACATTTAATACATCAAAAAGTCTTCTCCACCAACCTTTACACACCAACCCACATGGGAAACCGACCAAATGATAAGCCTAAGTTGTACAATGCTGTGAGATTTCTCTGATAATTGTTCATAAATATTTCTGGTAGATTTTACACGTATGCATTGGACTATAAATCCTCAGATAAAACTGCTGATTAGTGTGGCGCTAAGGATGTCATTTTCATTGAGTTCTGTTCAGTTTGAAACACGATTACATTTCAGCGTTCACTTCTCCTTCCAGCTTGTGCTTGAAAAAGCGCACAACTGTTTCAGGAACTTCCTTCCATTTCACCTCTATACATGTGTTCAAGGCTGATATGCTCAGAGTTAAATATGTAACCAAACATCATCTTGCTTGACTGTAAGTTGACAAAATTTCAGGCTGTTGAGTCACTTGACACGAGCATCATCTGAGTCAGTAAAGAACATCATTTCATAATACAGCTGAGATGCTAATCCTGTTTGATTTGATCGTGAAGTCTAATGTTTAGAGTTTGTTGTGTTGGATTGTTTGAGAATGTTCAGTTCGAGGCAGCGAAACAGTTATGTTCACCAGACACTTTTGTTATTTGATATTGTTCAGGTTTCAGGTGGGGGGGGGGGGGGGGGGGGGGTCATTGACCTTTTTGTGGTTTGATTTGCATCCCACAACAAAAACCTTTCTTATTTAGTGAAGCGACGCGGGCCTGGAAAAGTGGCACAAAAGTAAAAACTAAAAAAAATTAATAAACAAATGTTCAGCTGGTTTCCTGTTCTTCCTCCATGTGGCTAAAATTGAACATGTCAGGGAATCACTGGTTTCCTGGTTTTCTCAGTTGGAAAAACTCTAAAGTGTCAAGATGTTTTATTTAGCTCGGTTTCCTACCAGCCAGAGATAATAATTGAAACCGTAATTTTGTTTCTAGGCTTGTTTGGTTGTGTTTTAGTTTGTTCGCTACTAACTTAGTGTGTGGAAATAATAACTGAGGTGAGGAAGAACAAGTAGTCACATGTTCTGATGAGTTCATGCTGCAGACGCGACGCTTGGAGCGCCTGACGAGCCTGACACTAACGTCGCCTTAAGCCTCAGAGTTCTGGGTTTAAGTAACAGCTGCAGTGTTGATGAAAACCAAAGTCTCAACCAAAACCGCGTAAGAGTCTTAACAACAACAACAACCTTTTTGTTTCTGTTTTTGAGGTTTCACTGAAACCCTGAAGGCAGAGAAAAGGTGTTCTCACCTGAGTTTCCTGAGTTAAACCTCAACTCTCACACACGCTGAAAGGATCGGGTCCAGTGGTGTGACTAAAGTCTAGACGGGATGCGTTTTATCACAACACCGTAGCTTATTCTCACACAGGCTTTTCACTTGTTCTTTCAGTCGGTGTGGAAACGGCAGCTATGACTGAGCTTTAAACTTGTTGGGTTTTTTTTGTCATGAGGAAGTTCATCTGAATAGTTCTTTATTTATTTATTTATTTGCACATTTGAAACTCACTTCATCCGTTTAATATTCATGTCTTAAGCCGTATAACGAGGGGTGAAGGAGTTCCAGATAAATGAATACAAGGGTATTTTTTCTGGAATGCATTGAACCAAACAGTAAAGAGGTAATGAGAAAATCTAAAGTAAGGACATGAAAATCAGCGGTTCATTTTCCCACTGACTTGTTTTTTTGTTTTTTACTTACGGTAAATAATCAAATGATTTAGTTCTCCTCCATAGGCTCGTCTCTTCTCCCCCTCCCCCTTATTTTCATGGGTGACTCATGCTGTTTGCCACAAAAAGCTGCAGAACAAAAATAACCTTATGTGGTGGTTAAACATATCAACTGAGAAAAATCAAGAATAAAGAAAACATTGCCTGCAGTTTTCTGACTCCTTCAATCAGATGTGTTAAAACTCCCTTGTATGTGAGAGATTCATAATAAACTCAAAACAGGTGCTAATGAGCACACTTTCTCATGAATAATGCCTGATTCACCCAGACTACGGAACGATGCGGCCCAGTTTCTGTACATCGTCCTGACGAAATGTCCTCCACACCAACTACGGTTCTTGGACATCTGCTCCAGCAAGAGCACCAGCATTTTTAGGGTTCACAGTAGGGATGTAAGAAGAGGTTCAAAAGCCGTGTATCTAATTTTTGGAAGAATTTACATACAAACATTTGTGTGTATTCTTTTCTTTTGGTGCAGTTCAAACATCGACCACTAGTTAGTAGCAGTGTGCAGTGGGTTTTGTTTCCACCACTGAAATGTAAATCCCTCGGTTATGGTTCAGATACATAACATGTTTAAAACGCGGTATCAGTTAGGACTGTTTATTGAATATTTCTACAATAAATTCGGTTAAAATAATCACTAACGTCTGACTGAATGTATCGCAGTATGCATTGTATCATCTCCCCTGTATCGTATCGCCAGGATTTCACCAATGCACATTCCTAGTTCACACAATAACAACTATGTACAGGGGTGTGAAAGTTTGGGTAGCCTTGTTAATTTTCATGATTTTCCTTTATATATTGTTGGTTATGATTATAATATTTCAGTGATATATATCATATAGGAGACGCACAGTGATATTTGAAAAGTGAAACAGTTTATCGGATTTAAAGAAAGTGTGCAATAATTGTATAAACAAAATTAGGCACGTGCATAAATTTTGGCGCCACAAATAAGAAATGAAATCAATTTTTAGTAGATCCTCCTATTTCTCCAACCTGGTGTCCCAGAGCAAAGGGAACCCCAAGGTGCTGTTTAACACCATCAGCAGCATCGTCTCTCCTGCCTCTCCTACAGCCTCCATCCACTCTGTTGCAGACTGTGAGAACTTTCTGTCTTTCTTTGTGGACAAAGTCAATAAGGTTAGATCTAGCATCTCTCCTTCAGCCTTATCGCTGCCCCTCCCAACTCCAACCAGGCCCATCATCCTAGATAGCTTTGCTCCTGTTTCTTTGCCTGAGTTAACCAAACTAGTTAACTCTATGAAGACCTCTGCATGCCCCCTCGAAATCTTTCCCTCATCTTTGTTTAAAAGTGCTTTTCAGTCCATCGGTCCCAGCGTGCTCTCTATAATTAATGCTTCTCTGGTTTCTAGTCAGGTCCCTACTTACTTTAAGAATGCTGTAATCCACCCTCTTCTTAAAAAACCGAGTCTCGACCCCTCTCTTCTTAGCAGCTTCAGACCCATCTCTAAACTTCTGTTCATCTCCAAGATCTTGGAAAAGGTTGTGGCTAAACAACTCACAGCTGCTCTTGATGAACATAACATCTATGATAGCTTCCAGTCAGGTTTTCGTAGAGCTCATTCTAATGAAACAGCTCTTCTTAGGGTCTCTAATGACCTTCTGACTCACAGTGATGCAGGGGATTGTTCTGTTCTGGTCCTGCTGGACCTGACTGCAGCCTTTGACACTGTTGACCATCACCTGCTACTGGAGAGTCTGAGAGACTGGGTAGGCCTATCAGGAACTGCTCTGGAGTGGTTCTCCTCTTATCTCTCTGAGCGCTCCTTTTCTGTGGCCGTCTCCAAGTTTAGGTCCTCCACCACCTCTCTTACCCATGGTGTCTCACAAGGTTCTGTGCTGGGGCCTCTACTCTTCCTCCTCTATCTGTTTCCTCTTCAGCACATCCTGAGCTCCTTCAAAGGAATCTCCTACCATCTTTATGCAGATGACATCCAGCTGTACATCTCCTTCAAGCCCCATGAGATGTCTAAGCTGCAGCTGTTACACACCTGCTTAGACTCTATCAAAACCTGGAAGGCTGGGAGCTTTCTTCAGCTGAATGAAGATAAGACTGAGATCCTCATCTGTGCCCCAGACAAGCTGGTTCCCAAAGTCAGAGACTCTCTTTGTCAGCTTGCTTCTCACACCAAACCTTCTGTCAGGAATCTTGGCGTGACCTTTGACCCAGCTCTTAACCTGGATTCTCATGTCAGTTCTCTTGTTGGCTCTTCCTTCTTCCATCTCAGGAACATTGCTAAGCTGAGTCCCATTCTGTCTCGCTCTGAACTTGAGACAGTTCTCCACACCTTCATCTCCTCACGCTTAGACTACTGTAACTCTCTTTTCACGTGTCTGAGCAGAACCTCCCTGAACCGTCTACAGGTGGTTCAGAAGGCCTGTGCTCGGCTTCTGACCAAGTCCTCCAAACACACCCACATCACCCCGCTTCTCCTCCAGCTTCACTGGCTGCCAGTCAACTTCAGGGTTCATTTCAAGATCCTGGTTCTGGTCTGTAGGGCCTTACATGGACAAGCACCATCTTACATTGGTGATCTTCTTAGTCCCTACACCCCCAGCAGGTCCCTGAGGTCCAGTGATCAATTCCACCTTCCTCAGGGTCCACTAATTTCCCTTTTTCCTATTCACTCTCTCTCTTTCTTTACATTTTTAATCACAATTATCTAGTTTTTGCTCATTTTAAAAATATTTTTCATCATTTTCTAAATTCTTTTTTTATATTTTTACATTTTTTGTTTTTGTTAAGCGCCTCGTGATTTTTATCTTGAGAGGCGCTATAGAAAAGATTTTCATCTTTCGCCTCCTTTTGCAGAAATAACAGCCTCTAAACACTTCCTATAGTTTCCAATGACAGTCTGGATTCTGGTTGAAGGTACTATGGACCATTCTTCTTTACTAAACATCTCTAGTTCTTTCAGCTGAGCATGGACAGCTCTCTGTAACTCACCCCACAGATTTTCAACAATATTCAAGTCTGGGGACTGAGATGTTCACGCTTTACTGAAGGTAGCAGGTGTTTTTCTTGAAATGCTGTGCTCTTTTTCCTCCATGCATAGCGCCCCATGTTATGTCCAAATAACTCAGTTTTAGTTTCATCAGTCCACAGCACCTTATTCCAGATTAGGCTGGTTTGTCCAAATGTGCTTTAGCAAACCTCAAGCAGCTCTGCTTGTTCTGCTTCACTTTTCATACAGCATCTCCTTCTCAAAAACATTTGGTAATGTTCCAGTGAATCATTTCTTCTCTTTTAATACCTTACTAGTTTATTTCTATAGCACATTTAAAAACAGCATGAGAGCTGACCAAAGTGCTGCACAGGACAACAATCATAGAACTTCAGAGATTAAATTAAAAAAGCAAACATAAAAAGGAGTCGCTGTCCAAAAGCCAAGACACAAAAGTGGGTCTTCAGCCGTCATTTAAAGACGGCAATGTATGAAGGCTGTCTAATTGTGAGGGGTAATCCATTCCTGAGCACGGGATCGATGCATACGAAGCCTGCTCCCCCTCTAGCTTACCTAGCTCATGGAAGGAGTGCATCCTTCCATCCATCCAGAGTAGCAAGTCAGCTGACCTCAGTGAGCGTACCAGTACGTGAGCAGTGAGCAGGTCCAAATCGTCAAGAAGCCTGATGACATTCTTTGTTATTAAAGGGAAAAGTATGATTCCAAACATTTTCTATTTGAAGGTTTCTGTGATTTTTTTTTTCTCTCTTAACCATATTTTGGTCTCATCCAGGTTTGCTGGTTGGGACCTTGGATGTGGTTCTGGACTCGAGCGCTCGGATGGCCCCTTACAGGATCCTCTACCAGACTCCCGACTCTGTAGTCTACTGGATTATTGCTCATGGTACGTGAACCACCAGCACCTGCCATCACACCTGTTTTAATTTGAAGCAAAACAAACCACTTGGACCCATTCCAGGATCACAGCAGGTATGAACTTATTCCATACGGACCCTGCTGTAATTTTACCCCCGCCCTGCCCCAGCTCCATCACAACACTCCGTAATCTAACATCCTGCCTTTTCCCGTGCTAACTGCATTACTTCATGCCTCGGAGGTTTCAGAGCAGGATTACAGGAACGATGGAGGAATCAATGTCCTCCAGCTAATTACTTGATGGAGTTTCTTTATGATTTACCGTTTTCAGATTAACCCCGCTCTGCTTTTTCTGCTTTTTCTTTTCTCTCCAGAAAATCTCCATTTGCTGCTTTTACAGTTTTGATGGGAATAAAAGTGCTTTGTAGACGACTTCTGGTGGTAATTTATGCTAATTCTTAACAAAGCTCCTGACTGACTTTTTTTTCTGCACTGTCATCTGAATTATGTCATTGCTCTGAGTGTGGCCTTAAATAGTTAGAAAGAAAAAGGGAAAAACTAAATCTGCGACACTATTTTTGATTTGATCTCAAGCGGACAGAATAAAGACTAAATTTTAAATTGTTAAAGTCTGCAGCCATGTGATAAGTGTGTGTGTGATGTTTTCATCATGCACATTCAGTTATCTTCTATCTGAAATGGAGGCCTACACAAGGAGTGCTTGTGTCAGAAATAAGATGGGCTCTCCTCTCTTCCTCCTCCCAGCAGTCCGGCCGGGACATGTGTGATGTGGTCTGTGTGCTCTCGCTGAAGGCTGTTAGCAGCCATGTTTGTGGTATAATGGTCTACTGTGGCAGCTGTTACTTGTCCAAAGGGGTTGGTTGTAATCTTGCTGCTCGGTTGATGTGACAGTGTAAATATAAGATTTTGTTTGTTCTCTTTACTTCAGCAATGCTACAGGATGTTTTTATTTTACAATGAGCTCTCTAAAATGACAAGTCAACACCAAACTGCATTTTCTCCACTCAGATTTGCACAAATTATTTCTGTTAAAACTATTGTGTGACCAAAATGTTTCACTATATCATAGTTTTGAATATTTTTGAGTTCTACCTGCAGGAACACAAAACCATATTATATGAAAGTTTTGCTTTTCCAATGGAAAATCCAACTTTTTAATCAATGGGTGATGCTTAATAGCAGAGCTATTCAATTGTGGGCCTCAAGGGCCGGTATCCAGCGGGTTTTAGGGGTTTCTTTCCAACACACATGCTTCAGTGGTTGAATCAGCTGTGCAGCAGCTCATCAGGCTCTGCAGAAGCCTGTTAATCACCAGCTGATTGAAATCAGGTGTGTTGAAGCGGAGTTGAAACCAAGACGTGCTGGATACTGTCCTTCAAAGCCCGGAATTGAATAGCCCTGCTTTATAGTCTGGTTTGTGATGCTAAAGACTCATTGAAGTTATTCTTTACATCTGGGTAACCTCACATCTGCACAAGCTGAATGTCAAGAACCTTGTCTCCAGTCATTATCCAGAGGTGTATCTCTGCGATTTAATCTAACAAAATAAAACCTAGGGATTTAGATCTTGCTACTTTAGTGTCCGCCCTGGTACTAGGAGATTAGGGTTTGATTCCCGGTCGGGTCATACCAAAGACTTTTAAAATGGGACCCAGTGCCTGCCTCCCTGCATGGCACTCGGCTCAAAGGGGTTGGATTGGGGGATCAAACCGTCAAATAGTTCCCAAGCGCAGCCACCGCTCCCCTCCATGGGGATGGATCAAATGCGGAGATGAATTTCACCAGCATGATGGTGGCAATTGGACTTTAACTTTGACTTTAACATTATACAACACATCTTTGTACTGATGAACAATAAAATAAACCTCTTAAAGCTAGCAGTGTTTAGCACAGAGCTTCCAGATGAATTTGATAGAGCTAATGAGCTGCAGGGATAAAAGTCCTCCGCGGAACCGGCCGTTTGAACTTCTCACAGCTGAACCAACGAAGGTGCAACCGGATCTCTTCTACGTTTTACGCATTAATGCTGAAGGATCACCGTGGCACAGCTCCGTTTATTCTGGCGAACAACAGAAACAAACACAAACGTATACAATTACGCAACACATTTTGTGTAATCAATGTAACAAAACTGTTCCTGTGGGTCACACAGAACCACACACCACACTGGTGGTGTCACCACTTTCACACACGTTTATTTCTCAGGACTGATCGGTCTACAGCTCCTCCCCGCTACTGGATCCGCTCGGTCGGTTCTCCCCAGCTCCTCGTCCCTGCAGCCGCGCACAATTATATAAAAAAGCACAGAAGTCATTAGATGGCTGTAACATGTTTGTTTCTGGACATGTGGGGCGATTGTTTAACTTTTTTATTCTGTCACGACTCACGAGACTTTGTCTGCACTAGAACTGGCCGCTAACCACTGCCTTCAGCGTATTTTATGGAAACCTGTAAAGTTGAACTTTACTGTCATTTTGTCTACTTGTGCAGCTACAGCTCTACTTGTGCTAACCATGCCAACAGATTTTATTTAGCTGCTGTTTATCTCTTGTTGACAACTAACAGATAAACACAACAGTGATCAATGGGGAGGTGCTGGTGTGCATCGGTTTCTTGCCCTCCAGTCTGGGGTGGGCGTGTGGGCACGTGACTCTAAACAAAATGTTCTAAATAAACATCGACTCGAACAATAAAACCTTCTAAAGCTGTTTTATGTTTTATTCATGCATTAAAATCATTTCAACTCTGCAGCATAATGCTTACAAGACCGACTGTCGTTATGCCCTTTGCTCCTGAGTATTCTGACTCCCCCCACCTCCTCTGCAGGGACGTCCCGTAAAGAGATCACAGAGCACTGGGAGTGGCTGGAACACAACCTGCTGCAGACTCTCTCCATCTTTGAGAATGAGAATGACATCACCACCTTTGTCAAGGGAAAAGTGCAGGTAGGTTCTGTTAAAGCTCCAGTGGGTTTAAAAATCATTTTATGACATAAAAGCTGCAATTAAGTCCTTAACACTATGACCCAAACACTTGTGGTGACGTTTCTATTTTGTTGCAGGGAATCATCGCAGAGTACAACAAGAATCATGACGTCAAAGAGGATGATGACACGGACAAGTTCAAGGAGGCGAGCTCCAAGTTTCGTAAGCTGTTTGGGATGCCTGAAGAGGAGAAGCTGGTCAACTATTACTCTTGCAGCTACTGGAAGGGGAAGGTTCCCCGGCAGGGATGGATGTACCTCAGCATCAACCACCTCTGCTTTTATTCCTACTTACTGGGCAAAGAAGGTCTCATATCTAGTCTTTCATTAACCAAAACACATTTTAACGTAACTTTTTGGTTCCGTGACTTTTTACAAAGAGCCAAATTCTAAACGGCTTAAATAATCTACAGTATGCTACCTTTCAGAGCAAAGATAGGCCCATCTATTGACTGAATGATTGAAACGTTCATCAGAACATTAGACAACACATTCTAAAAACAACTAATACATATAGAAAAGGAAAGGGGGAAAAAGTCATTGCCCCTAAGGGAGTGGGTAACAAATTACAAGCCTGAATTATTGTCCCAGTCTATTCCCCGACTCATATCCACCTACCTTTTTAACCATTCAGCTAGCGGTTAGCATCTTGGTTTCACTTGCATCTCTGGCCTATCCGTCGAGTGGTTTTAACGTTTCAATGGCGCTGGCTTGAAGAAGTAACTCGTCTGAAAACTAACTACAGTACTGGCGGTGGCCAGTATAGTCTGTGACATTGCTGTCATGTTCTGGCTCTGCTTTTATGAGATATACTGAAGATAAAATCCAACTATTTCTGGTGATTAAACTCTTCTTTGGAACGACAGAACAGATCCCTGTGTCTCTCGCAGCAAAAAGGCATTTTTGCATCCTAGCCAATATTTAAAGTGCAGATGAGACGAGAAAGAAATTACTTCTTCACAACTGTGGAGATTAGACTCCCTGCTAGCTACACAGAGAGACTGGGAGTTAGTGTTTACAGTCAAGGGGCCTCATTTATAAAGCTTCCGTATGCACAAAACTGGGTCTGAAAAAAGTGAATGTCCACACAAACTTTGTGATTTATAAAGAAAAATTGGATGTGTGATTTCAGACATATTTTCAGATGTGTAGATTCTCCTGCGCACACACAACCAACAATAACCCCTCCTATCTCTGAACTGAGAATAAAAGTAACATTTGTAATTAAAATTTATTGTTTTTAAGATATTGTATTTGTATGTCTAAAAAATTACTTAATGATGCAGTAATGTGTCTCTCATCAGCGCATCTGTGAGTTTAGCTGTAAACTTAAATGGCATCGCAGCAAACCGGGCAGAGGCGCTGTTGTCGGGGCGTCCTTAAACAGAAGTTCTGACAGAACACCAGCTTGTGTTCTGTCGATTAGCCGATTAGGCTCATTTGTTAGATCTAAAAAGATTTCCTCCCTAAACCCATTTTGGGTTACATTCAATGTTTTCAGAAAATGTTGCCCTTAACTCTGGAAAAGCGTGATCCCTCCCTTCACGGTCAGGCTGTTCTGTGGAGTCAAGTTCCTATGCTCTGGTTCGCTGGAGCGCTGGCAGTAAAATTCTCTCTGATTCTCTGATTCTGATTCACACCATTGTGCCACTTTTACTGATTTAGTAGTAGCATAGTATAATTCTAAGTTTTTACCTATTATATCTGCTGATCGCTCCAAAACGCACCGCTGTAGCAACATTTTGTCCACATCTACGTCACGACCCAGAGCATACGCTTTAACTTTTGAATCAAGGCCTTTCTTTTCTAAAGTGAAACTTCATTTAAAAACTTTTTTTCTTTTTCCTATTTGTTTTTTAACATTTGACCCATTGCAACTTTTATCAGTTAGATCTTGTAAAATAAATGTAAAACATATCTAGTTTATATCTTTTGACAGGCACACATGGCTTTTATGACCAATATTTTTCACTATGTGATCGTTTTTAATCAGTTTTACTGGTGAGAAATAGTTGCAGGTAAACAAAATCATAATAGAAGAACTACATATCTAGAACCTCTTTTAAGGAAAACTTAACTTTTGTGTCTAAATTTTTAATTTTTGTAGCTCTTTAACTAAATGAGTTTTATATGGGGATAATCATAAGAAAAATATGAAGTCTTAGATTTCTTTAGCCAAGTATTGAAATAAATGGGTGTAATTTAGACATAAAGCAGTGTAAAGCATTACTTAACAAAAGCCTGTTCATTTGGTTAGCTGAATAAGGAATCTTCTCATGTTTTCAGTCAAACTGGTGGTGCGCTGGGCTGATATCACCCAACTGGAGAAGAGCGCCACCCTCCTCCTGCCCGACGTAATCAAGGTGAGCACGAGAGCCAAGGAGCACCTCTTCTCCGTCTTCCTGAACATCAACGAGACCTTCAAGCTGGCAGAACAGCTGGCCAACATCGCCATGCGCCAGCTGCTGGACAACAAAGGCTTTGAACAGGACCGCTCGCTGCCCAAACTCAAAAAGAAATCTCCACAGAAGGTGTCTGCACTGAAAAGGTGGGAGCTGGCGTTCATTACTGATTAATCCTGTTTACTGTGGATTGAAAGTAATCCTCAATATTATAATTGCAAATTCTATTTTAGATGTGCCCTTGTGAGAAGGATTATTAATTCTAATGCTCTTTGAGCTCATTAAAATGCTAAATTCATTCATGGTGACTAAAGTCTTAGTTTTTATGTTTGAACATTTAAGGTTGATGCTTCTAGCAGAACTCTTTACTGCCTTTACTTAGCATTACTCTGTGGATTCATTTGGGCTTTATGATGGCCGATAAGCTAACGGCTGCACTGTTTATCGACTCATTTATGTACAAATCTTACGTGTTTTGCATCTTTCAGAGATCTGGATGCGAGAGCAAAAAGCGAGCGCTACCGAGCCCTCTTCCGTCTGCCCAAAGATGAGAAACTGGATGGGCACACAGACTGCACCCTGTGGACCCCCTTTAACAAGATGCACATCCTGGGACAGATGTTTGTTTCCACAAACTACATCTGCTTCACCAGCAAGGAGGAGACGCTGTGTAGCCTCATCATTCCTCTGCGGGAGGTCAGTTGTTGGGATTATGGCTTGGATTGGATTATGTTGGTGGTGTTGTCCGTAGCGAAGCGTAAAAATGCAGCTGTGCGCCTGAATTCATCCCCTTTATTTAGCTGTTGACTTACAGAAAGGTCTTGTTCAAACTTTCATCTCCTTCATTTAGTTTCCGTGAAGTTAATCTAATATTGTTTCCTTTTGTCCCACAGGTGACCATCGTGGAGAAGGCAGACAGCTCCAATGTGCTCCCCAGCCCACTCTCCATCAGCACCAAGAACCGTATGACCTTTCTGTTTGCCAACCTGAAAGACAGAGACTTCCTAGTGCAACGGATCTCTGACTTCCTGCAGCAAACTACCTCCAAGATCTACCTGGAAAGAGAACTCACAGGAAGCCTCAACAGCTCGGAAGACGAGGTAGGAGATAAAAACGTGTTTTAATAATGATGTAATGGTGTGAAAATTAATTTAAGATGCTTAAATTAATGGCAAAGGTTATTTATTAAACAGAAGATTCAGTAAGATTCTTTTCATTCGATAAACTGGAAATGCAACCCTTTTCTGTGTTTCGTTTCAATAATGAGGCAAGTTTAAACATGAAGAAATTTATTTACTAACAATTTTAAACTGAAATATTTGAAATGACAATTCATAAATGGCAATTTTGATGACAATCCTTAACAGCTTTGATATTAAACTTTGTTTGAAACAAACCTGTGTTTGAATGGAGCTAAAAAATAGAATGATGAGTTTTGGATACGTGAATGAAGTTCTCAGAAGGTTTCTTTCAGAGGGAATGGAAGCGTTCTGGTGAAAATGATGTTTTGCGGATAACGGAGTTATTTTTAGAGAAAACGGCATCAAACGTCATCTGTCGTGTTCTACCTCACCCAAAACAGGACCCCCTTTGTGGATCCGGACGTCAGGACGATGGGTTCATCCAAGGTGGCACTTCGGCTGGTAGAGGAGACGCAAGTGTCCGATCGTCCGGTCCAGAGATGTACTGGGGGCACGGCTGTACGAAGCGTTTGGCAGATGCACGTTTCGTCTTTTAACTTAACTTCAGACATCAATGACTCTGGGAGAGTCTTGCGTTAGTTCGTTAGTTTCGTTTGTTCTTCAGCCATTCTTGTCGGCGTGACAGAACAGCTTGGCGGAGGTCAGGAGACGGCCGTACTCCTTTCCTCGTGGTGTTGGTTGAAGAACTGGACGTGAAATCTGTGATGGTTAGTTTTTACCAAACCCTCTCAGAACACTCTCACTCTCTCCAGAAGAAAGCGTGGTCATGCGTCAAAAAACATGTGCTGCAGTTATTGTTTATCTGAACTCTGTTGGCTGAGCAGCTTTGCTGAACACATCTTTATAATCATTATAATAATCATCATTATAATACCCAAAGCATAATAATCCATTTCATGTAATTAAAATACCTTTATATTTGAACCAAGTGATCATGTATTAATATTTAAACAGTAATAAAATCATAAGTTTATTAATTATTATTTAATTATCATCATCGTGGCTTGAAGTGTCCTCCTTCTGACGGAACAGCAGATACTGGTGTTATGATCTTGGCAGACATCGTGGCTCCTTGGGCTTTAATCTGTGGATTCAAAGTATTGTTTGACCCAGCTGGGCAAATGTGACCTTTGGCACAAATCAGAGAACCTTCATGCCGTTACAATGAAAACCTCCCTAATCTGGATTTGACTGTGATCTCGCTGCAGGTTTACTCCCAGCAGGGGTCCCTGCTATCCAGCAGTCTGCCACAGAGTTTGAGTTCAGATGTTGAGCGAGCGTTCAACCTGAATGACAACAGCGTTCCCACCGCCACGGAGGCTCTGATGACCATGTATCGCCGGCGCTCACCTGAGGAGTTTAACCCCAAACTCGTGAGTTGAATCACACTTTACTGGATAAAATGAGCGCAGGCCTTCATTTTCCATCTGACTCAAAACTCATTTCTCTTTTCAAGTGGATTATGAATTGTGTTTTTTTTCCCATGAATATCATCTTTAAACTGCATGGAGACTTGCTGTGAGGCAAACTGCTTTTAATTATTTATCCTTCCCTTGTTGCTCAGGCGAAAGAGTTCCTGAAGGAGCAGGCATGGAAGAACCACTTTACAGAGTACGGCGAGGGGGTGTGCATGTACCGCACGGAGAAGACGAAGGAACTCGTTCTCAAAGGCATTCCTGAAGGCATGAGAGGAGAGCTGTGGCTGCTCTTCTCTGGTGAGCAAACACATGAAAGAGGCAGTCACACGTTCACCTGAGAGGCTGAGCTCTGGATGCTGCTCTCAAACCCAAAAAAATGCACGTTGCATATTTCATGCAGGTGTTCTGCAGAGGTGTGACCAAGTCACTGCTTTGCAAGTCACAAGTAAGTCACAAGTATTTCCAGTCAAGTCAAGATGGCGCCGGTGTGTGTGGCAGCTCGTCTATTGCTCCTTAAGCTTTTCTTCTGCTTCTTGTTAGTTTTTCTTTCCTTGAAATTTAGCAGTTCTATCCGGGTGTATGATCGTAAAACCTTGCTCGGGATTCGCCAAGCAGCTGAGGGCTTATCGTTCTCTGGAGGTTTTGGGCAGAATGGATCGCCACTACTGGATGGTTCTTTGGGCTGCGTGCGCTACGTGGCAACCTTACCTAGATGGAGGAGGCGCCGGAGACGGGGGAAGCGTGCTGGATGCCGGATGAAGCTGAGATCGGCTCGACGTGGGTTGGATGCTGTGTGTGGAGTTGTGTGCTCAGAGGGGGACGGTGGGTCGCCGGAGCACCAGTTGGATCCGGTGCCGTTGAATCTGGCGGCTTCCGGATTGGTGTCGGTTGTGTGCGGTGGCGGGATGATACAGTCGCGGCGCCCTGCACCACAGCGGCGAGCGTGCGGAAGAGAAGTTCACCGACAAAATCTACTTGAGGTGATATGTGAATCAGCAGAGCCCTCGCCAGTGAATCCAGAAGAATTGACTAACAGCATCTTCTTCCGTCATCAGGTTTGCTCTGTCTAACGCCAGATCTATTATGAATAAGACTTTTATTCTGAAGGATTTTATTGAAACAAATGGTCTGGAGTTCCTGTGTGTTACTGAATCCTGGGTCCCTAAAGATGAAACTGCTGCTTTTGTGGAGCTTCTCCCGGATGATTTTACATATTTTAGTGTTCCGAGACCCTCGGGGCGTGGTGGAGGATTGGCTGTGATTTTTAAATCATCAATTATGTGTAGGCAGGTACAGGTGCTGGCCAGTAAATTAGAATATCATCAAAAGGTTGAAAATATTTCAGTAATTCCATTCAAAACGTGAAACTTGTACATTATATTCATGCAATGCACACAGACCAATGTATTTCCGATGTTTATTACATTTAAATTTGATATTTATAGGTGACAACCAATGAAAACATCAAATCTGGTATCTCAGAAAATTAGAATATTCTAAAGGCCAATGAAAAAATGTTTGTTTCTCTAATGTTGGCCAACTGAAAAGAATGAACATGAAAAGAATGTGCATGTATAGCACTCAATACTTAGTCGGGGCTCCTTTTGCCTCAATAACTGCAGTAATGCGGCATGGCATGGACTCGATCAGTCTGTGGCACTGCTCAGGTGTTATGAGAGCCCAGGCTGCTCTGATAGTCGTCTTCAGCTCCTCTGCATTGTTGGGTCTAGCGTATTGCATCCTCCGCTTCACAATACCCCATAGATTTTCTATGGGGTTAAGGTCAGGCGAGTTTGCTGGCCAATCAAGGACAGGGATACCATGGTCCTTGAACCAGGTGCTGGTGGTTTTGGCACTGTGTGCAGGTGCCAAGTCCTGTTGAAAGGTGAAGTCTGCATCCCCATAAAGTTGGTCAGCAGCAGGAAGCATGAAGTGCTCTAAAACTTCCTGGTAGACGGCTGCATTGACCCTGGACCTCAGGAAACAGAGTGGGCCAACACCGGCAGATGACATGGCATCCCACACCATCACTGACGGTGGAAACTTTACACTGGACCTCATGCAACGTGGATTCTGTGCTTCTCCGCTCTTCCTCCAGACTCTGGGTCCTTGATTTCCAAAGGAAATGCAGAACTTGCTTTCATCAGAAAACATAACTTTGGACCACTCAGCATCAGTCCAGTCCTTTTTGTCCTTGGCCCAGGCGAGACGCTTCTTGCGCTGTTTCTTGTTCAAGAGTGGCTTGACACACGGAATGCGACACCTGAATCCCATGTCTTTCATGAGTCTCCTCGTGCTGGTTCTTGAAGCGCTGACTCCAGCTGCAGTCCACTCTTTGTGGATCTCCCCCACATTTTTGAATGGGTTTGTCGTCACAATTCTCTGCAGGGTGCGGTTATCCCTAGAGCTTGTACACTTTTTTTCTACCACATTTTTTCCGTCCCTTCGCCTGTCTGTTAATGTGCTTGGACACAGAGCTCTGCGAACAGCCAGCTTCTTTAGCAATCACCTTTTGTGTCTTGCCCTCCTTGTGCAAGGTGTCAATGATTGTCTTTTGGACAGCTGTTAAGTCAGAAGTCTTCCCCATGATTGTGGTGCCTTCAAAACAAGACTGAGGGACCTTTTAAAGGCCTTTGCAGGTGTTTTGAGTAAATCAGCTGATTAGAGTGGCAGCAGGTGTCTTCTATATTCAGCCTTTTCAGAATATTCTAATTTTTTGAGATACCAAATTTGGAGTTTTCATTAGTTGTCACTTATGAATATCAAATTTAAATGTAATGAACATTGGAAATACATTGGTCTGTGTGCATTGCATGAATATAATGTACATGTTTCACGTTTTGAATGGAATTACTGAAATATTTTCAACCTTTTGATGATATTCTAATTTACTGGCCAGCACCTGTATATCCATCCTCTGTGCCTACCAGCTTTGAACTCTGCCTCTGTGAGCTTGGATGCTCTCAGAAGCTACTGGTTGCTCTCCTATATCGCCCACCGAGACAAAACTTTGATTTTATGGATGACTTTACTGAACTGCTTGGCGAGCTGATTCCTAAGTATGATCAAGTGTTACTTCTTGGGGACTTTAACATACATGTGTGCTGTCAGGATAAACCTTTGGTGAAAGATTTTTTAAATCTCGCTGACTCTTTAATTTGGTTCAGTTAGTGGACCAATCCACACACGTTAGTGGCCATATTTTAGACTTGGTGCTGTCACTGGGTGTAGGAGTCTCCAACCTGCAGGTCCAAGAGGCCTATTTTTCAGATCACAGGCCAGTATTGTTTGATGTGGCCTGGACTCACAAACGGGTGCAACAATATGCTCCGATGAAGCGTTGTCGGATGTTAAAAGACTCTACAGCTGCTGAGTTTGCCGTAGTGTTTTCTATGGGGTGTGCAGAGCAAGACTACGGAGCTTGGACCACAGATGAGCTTGTTATACATTTTGACTCAGCATGTACCATGGCGCTTGATGTGGTTGCCCCAGTACGGGTAAAGAAGCCTAAAGCTACAAAGGAGCCATGGTTAACCGAGAGTACTCGAGCACTAAAAAGGATGTGCAGGAAGGCTGAGCGGAGGTGGAAAAAGGACGGGCTCCAGAGCTTGCTTGACCAAGTGAGAAGTCTTTGGATTGGCTATCAGAAGGCTGTGAAGGATGCAAGGAGAAAGTACTTTACAAACATAATCTCCTTAAATTCTCAGAATGCTAGGATACTTTTTAAGACAGTTGACTCTATTTTAAATGTCAATGAGCCCCTTGCGATTGAGTACTCCACTGAGTCATGTAACAACTTTTTAGACTTCTTTGTGGACAAGGTAAGGGTGACAAGGGCCTCTATTCCACCACTTAAGCACGCCCCCTATGCAGATCTATGTGTTCCTAAGGCACTGGAGGGTTTTCAACCATTAACTCTTGCAGAACTTGAGGATCTGGTCGTGAGACTTAAGCCGACAGGGGCGGTAACTGATGTTCTCCCGGCAAGGCTATTGACAGAAGTTTTTTCTGTAGTGGGTAACCATGTACTGCAAATTGTAAATAGCAGCTTGATATCTGGGGAAGTCCCTAGTCCCCTAAAACAGGCGGTGGTACGACCTCTGCTTAAGAAATCAGGTTGGACCCCACAATCTTGTCCAATTACAGACCTGTATCTACACTCCCTTTCATCTCAAAGATCATAGAGAGGGCTGTGTTTAACCAACTGACATCTTTTCTTCAGGAACGGGAAATTGGAGAAGTATTTCAATCTGGGTTTAAACCCTTTCATAGCACTGAATCGGCGCTGCTTAAGGTCCTTGATGACATTTTATTGGCAAATGATTCTGGTGATGCTGTGGTTCTGGTGCTCTTGGACCTGTCATCAGCCTTTGATACCGTTGATCATAACATCCTGGTAAAATGGCTGGAGCGGTCTGTTGGCATTACGGGCCAGGCACTTCAGTGGATACGATCGTACCTGACTGGGAGGAGTTTTTGTGTGAGGTTGGGGGACTGTTCCTCCGATCTGGCTGAGCTGCCATGGGGAGTTCCCCAGGGATCGATTTTGGCCCCACTATTTTTCTCCTTATATCTCATACCCCTGGGTGAACTATTTCGTAAACACAATGTGTCATTCCATCTCTATGCTGATGATTGCCAGGTCATTTTTCCAATTAAGCGTGGTGGTTTATGCACCATTCAACCTCTGTTGGACTGCCTTGAGGACATCAAGCAATGGCTGGCTCAGAACTTCTTGTGTTTCAACGAACACAAGACTGAAGTTATTCTGTTCACGCCACCAAAGACCCCAGGAGGTGCCCAAGGGCTTGATTTTGCCACTCTGGCACCGCATCAGAAGGCGGTGGTCTCTAACTTAGGGGTAAAACTGGACGCAGATCTCAGATTTGATGCTCAGGTGAACAGTATTGTGAGATCTTGCTTTTTTCATCTACGCCGCATTGCGAAAATTAAGCCTTTTCTGTCCCATAATCATTTGGAAACTGTAATCCATGCCTTTGTTACCTGCAGGCTGGATTATTGTAATTCGCTATATGCGGGGCTTAGACAAGCTCCAGTAGCACGCCTCCAGGCGGTTCAGAACTCTGCAGCCCGGTTGTTAACATCTACCAGGAGGTCTGAACATATAACACCAGTCCTACGTGCCTTGCATTGGCTCCCTGTTTTTTATCGCATCAGGTTTAAGGTCCTCCTGTTTGTGTTTAAGGCGTTAAACACAGGGGCTCCTAAATATCTTTCCGATATCATCCACCAGCATGTCCCGGTGCATTCCCTTAGGTCAGCTGACCAGAGATTACTAACTGTGCCTAGGTACAGCCTGAAGTCTCGTGGTAGTCGAGCTTTTTCAGTACTTGGACCAAGTCTCTGGAATGAGCTGCCAGCTGATGTAAAACAGGCCAAGTCATTAGAAACCTTTAAAGGAAGACTGAAAACACATCTGTTCTCGTTGGCTTTTGGACGTTGAAGTTGGGGGAAGTAGGCCGGATATGGACTGTGAACTGGCACTCAGGTTTTTGTACTGTATTTTAAAATGGATTTCTTATTGTATTTTTATAGGATTTATTACGGTATTTTACAGGTATTTCTTAGTGTATTTTAATGGATTTATTAATGTATTTTAATGGTCATATCTCTGTCCTATTGTGTTGCATTTTATTGATGTACAGCGCTTTGTTTGTCCATTCTGGCCATGTGAAAGCGCTCTATAAATAAAGTTGATTTGATTTGATTTGAAGTCCAAGTCAAAGTTGAGTCCAAAGGAAATCAAATGGAAGTCCAAGTCCTTAACTTTGAATTTTCAAGTCATAATCAAGTCATCTGTCCAACTTCAGTTTAATGACAATAATAATAAATAAATTCCAGAAATAAAGCTTCTAAAAGCTTCATTTATTTGCTCAAACCAGCAGGAAGTGCAACTGAATCTGATTCTAAACAAAGTGCTGCTGCATTCAGCAGAACAAGATCACACCCAGAACCATGAATGATTTATGATTTTTGTCCATGTCGTGCTACTTTTGTGCTAAAATATCAAATATGCTCATCAAGTCAACAGATGCAAGTCAATTCAAGTCGCAGGTCAGTGGCGTTCAAGTCCGAGTCAAGTCGTAAGTCTTTATAGATTTTTATCAAGTCAAGTCAGAAGTCATTAAAATAACGACTCTAGTCCAGGTCATGTGACTCGAGTCCACACCTCTGGTGTTCTGTCAGCCACGGGCTTCCTTCTGACGGGCTACGGAAGGTAAAAACATGAAAGTTTTTACTCGGACTGGAGCTTTTGCAGGCTGCAGAGTGCCTCACAGCAGTTTTATTTAATTTAATTTTGTATATAGGTATGTATGTACACGTGTGGGTATTTATGTATCCATGCTTATGTGTTTATATTTACGTGTGTATATATATATATTTATATATATCGTTAATTTTACTGTTATTATTTATTTACTTTCCTTTTTTTTAAGTTTGTTATAACTTTCTAACTCTGCCACCTTATTTGTTATTGGTTGTGTTGTAGGAGGACCTGCTCAAAAACGAGATGTTACATCTCAAGCAGTTTATCCTCCTGAAAAACATAAGTTAAATAAATAAATAAATGTGCAGAAACGGTTTGTATTTGTGGCGCTTGGCCAGCCCAGTTCCAGTTGAAGTGGCAAATTATTTGACCCTCTGACCTCAAATGAAAAAAATCTGGATAATACTTATTTCCTCGGACAGTTGATGGTAAGGTGGGTCATTAATTCTCATAAAACACTCGGTTCATGGTTGAATCTGCTGAAATCAGCAGCTCTTATTTAATTGGTTCCACTTTTTGTGGAACAGATTGTGAGTTTTTTCACGACTGAGCAAGAAGTGATAAATCAGCAGAAGAAATGTAAATAATCACATGTCGACTGTGTGAGGCGCTGAGACTTTCACTCTCTTCGTCCATGCTGCAGGTTTGCATGTGACTCTGAGGTTTATGGTTGCAGGTACAGCCACGTTTCCTTTACGCGCGTCCTTCTACACAAGCTGGGTTACAATCAGCCATGACCCAGTTTCACAGCTCCTCCGAGCTCATTTTCACACTAAATTTACCTCCAAGGAAATACTTCTCATACTTGATTAAAACAAGTCACATTTCACAGATAAGAAAACCAGTTTTGTGACTTTTCTGAACTGGAACAGATGACGGTAACAGCTGGAAATGTGTAAATGATGGAGTTTTGTAATCTTCCCACACAAAGATGTGTTCTAGAGTTAAGAAATGGCAGGATAAACATGGAAAAAGTTTGTCAAGCATAGATGGTAAATAATCACCCAGCTTACAGGCGTGACCTTTATTTTTAGATAGTTGATGGTAATAAAACTGATGTTGAAAGTAGAGAAACTCTAAATATGAAACGTTTTACTAATAATTTTCCATAATGATTTAAGGATGATCGTCATAAATGTAGGTACTCTACTCTTAACTGATCTTCTGAGCTCCCGGGTGTAGTTTTGTTTTTGTTGGCAAACAAAAGTTTGTTCGTTCACAATCAATGATGGGAATGACGCCGTACATCATCCGACTGTAACCTGTTTCTGATCATGTCTTTAGTCCCGCTGTAACACTGGTTGCATCAGTCTCAGATGTCATGGGTGTTCAGGTGTTATCAGAACTACCTGTGTGTCTCTACCACCCAGCTTCAGATCTTCTGTGTTTGGGTCTGACCCAAGTTAGTAAATTTAAGTCCTCTGTCTGATTTGTGCCTCTTCTAGTGTCATTTTAAAGGATTTTTATTTATTTCACCATTACTAGATTACCAGCAACAGAAATGCTACTTAAAAACACACAATTATGTGAAGCTGGAAAAAATAGAATACTGAGCAAAACTACATTTATTTCTGTAATTTAGCTAGACTGAGAGACCATTTAAAGGTTCAGGAACCTTTACAGGTTCCTGCAATTATAAATTAGAACGGATTGGGGTCTTGTTAAATAGTCTAGATGAGTGTAATGTTCCTGTTTGTAGTTCCTCCTATTAAGTGCCTATTTATTTCAATTATTCAGTTTTATACAAAAACATTTGAACATGCATTTTTATTATGTTCCACTCATTAGTCATTTATATTTCAGCAGTGCAGTAATTTATAGCGAATTAAGTTTAGGGGAACCCATTTTTCTTACATTCTTTAATGAAAAAAGTGCAACAAATTAGTCATTTTTCTTGGTAATTAGTTACTTTTAGACTCTTGTAACTCTGTAAGTAACTGAATAACTTTTTGGACAAAGTAATCAATAACTATAACTACGGTAATTACTTTTTAAAGTAACGTTCCCAACACAGCTGTACAGTAAACCCTGACTAACTAACCCTAATCCTAGCCAAATAACAATGGATTAAATATTAGAAACGATTCTAAAAAAAAGAATGTTCTGTCCTCATTCAAGGGTAATCTTACCCACAGTCCTATTTTAATTCGTGAATCTGTCCAGATTATTTTCAAATGACTATTTAAAAACCGACCCAGTCATGTTTAACAGACTTAAACTTTTTCTAAACTTCTTTTAATTTGAGATTTTTCTGTATTCTTCCGGTATTAGAAGTTTATAGTAACGAATGTGATTTTGTATTTTCTACCATTAACGAATCTTGTAAATGCTGTTTTTATTTATTTATTATGGAGGAAGCTTTGTTTCCACTTTTAAGAACCCACTCATGTTTCCTCCCACAGGGGCAGTTAATGAGATGACTACTCATCCTGGATACTACGAAGACCTGGTGGAGAAGTCCATGGGCAAGTACAACTTGGCTACAGAGGAGATTGAGCGGGACCTTCACCGTTCTCTGCCGGAGCATCCAGCCTTTCAGAACGAGATGGGCATCGCCGCCCTGCGCCGAGTCTTAACCGCCTACGCGTTCAGAAACCCCAACATCGGATACTGTCAGGTGCTACATTAGGATAAGCTAGCAAGAACCCGTCATTCTTGGACAATTCCTGAGGTTTATTGGTCTTTGATTGGTCATCACAGGCTATGAATATCGTGACATCAGTGTTGCTGCTGTATGCCAAAGAAGAGGAGGCGTTTTGGCTGCTGGTGGCTCTCTGTGAGAGGATGCTGCCTGATTACTACAACACAAGGGTCGTAGGTCAGTGCGACAAAACATTTTTTTTAATCTTATTTTGATTATAATCGATCTGTCTGAGTGCAGGCTGAACATGAAAATAGTCTCCTACATCTATCTCCTGCATTAGCTTCTGATAGAAAACAGATGGTGAAACTCTAGGATTTGAAAGCCTGTCACAAAACATGGACTTCACCGTCTTGACTCACGACGGGGAAGGCTGTTGTTGGTTTAGCGTCTAGGAAATGGCAGAAAACGTCTCGGCTAGTTGAAGCTAATCTTAACATTAGCAACTCCACCACACTTCAGAACTCCTCCAGGGTTGTGTTATTAGTGGAGATAAAACGTCAATGTTGCAGAGCAGAGGCGAGATGTCTAAGTATCAGGAAAGAAAGAGTCCAAAACCTGCCGTCTGACGTTCGGCTAATTCCTGAAAATTGTTCACCAGAGCTCCCCCCCTGAGTATGACTTGCAAGACATTAATCCCTACTAGGGATCACTGCAAATGTAGAGATTACATGAGTATCGGACCATAATCCTGCTGTGCCTCTCCTTCAGGAGCCCTCGTTGATCAGGGAGTGTTCGAGGAGCTTGCCCGCGAGTACGTTCCCCAGCTGTACGACTGCATGCAGGACCTCGGGGTCATCTCCACCATTTCTCTCTCCTGGTTTCTCACCCTTTTTCTGTCCGTCATGCCATTTGAGAGCGCGGTGGTGGTGATGGACTGTTTCTTTTACGATGGCATCAAGGTCATCTTTCAGTTGGCGCTCTCCGTGCTTCATGCCAACATCTACCAGCTGCTGGGCTGCAAGGATGATGGAGAGGCCATGACTGCTCTGGGCCGGTAAGACGAAGTCTCTGTGGGGAGCGCAATCGTGATTCGATTACAAATCAGAGGGATTCTAACTGTATCTGTCTACCATCACAGGTACCTGGACAGTGTGACTAACAAGGACAGCACCCTTCCTCCCATCCCCCACCTTCACTCTTTACTGACTGATAATGGAGACCCACATCCAGAGGTTGACATCTTCAAACTGGTCAGCAGCTCCTATGAGGTAAAGAATGAATGCAGTGCAGGTTTGTCAGACTGTTCCTGAAAGTTCGTCATGGAAGAGCCATCTTTGTTTCCCTTTGATAACAAAGCTGATGGTATTTCTCCTTCTCGTGTCAGAAATTTGGCTCGATTCGTGCCGATGTGATTGAGCAGATGCGTTTCAAACAGAGACTGAGGGTCATTCAGACTATTGAAGACGCAACAAAGCGCAACGTGGTGAGCTCCAGCTCTCGTGGTGTCTAGTAACAGAACCAAACCATAAAATTACAGCTTTTTAACTTTTCTTTTGTTCGTTTCAGGTCCGAACTATTGTGACAGAGACGGCGTTCAGTATTGATGAGCTAGAGGAGCTCTTTGTGCTCTTTAAAGTAGCTATTTACTTTCTTCTTAATACGCTTACACACCCACGTTGATTTTTAGATTTCATACCTTCTGCTCTTCTCCCCAGGCGGAGCACCTGACCAGCTGTTACTGGGGAGGCAGCAGCAACCCCACTGAGCGTCACGACCCCAGCCTGCCCTATCTGGAGCAGTACCGCATTGACGTGGAGCAGTTCAAAGGTCTGTTCAACCTGCTGTTCCCCTGGGCCAACGGAGTCCACTCAGACCCCTTGGCCCTGCGCTTCTTCAGACTCCTTGATGAAAATGGAGACGGCCTGATCAACTTCCGGGAGTTCATCAACGGCCTGGGTGAGCAGATTTAACAGATCACTGCCTTTGGAGACCTGGGGTCAGTCTCAACCCTGAAGGTTTTCTGTTATCGTAGGAGTTCTGTGTCACGGGGACCTTACGGAAAAGCTGAAGCTCCTCTACAAAACGCACGTGCTGCCTGGTGAGTTCACACAAATCCTGATCGGCGATGGTGGGAAAACGATATCTAGGAATTAAACTATTTGAACAATGCCTTGCTTCATTGGATTGGTCCACAAAAATAAACAATCAATAATAAACAAGTCTGCTTCTAGACCTGCAGAAAGAGGGAAAACAATCAAGAAAAGGATTTAAAAATATGAAAAAGTTGCATAGTATGGCTTTAAGAAAAGCTGATAAAATGACTGTAATGCAGCTTTCAGCCTCCTGTTTAAATGCTGAATGTAAATTGTTTATCTCAGAGTTGACTCAGGAGCTGGAAGAGCCCGACTCGGCCTTCGAAGCCACCCAGTACTTCTTTGAAGACATCACTCCAGAAACATCCATGGGTAAGGCGACTTCACGACTGTGAGATATCACGCTATGTGTATATAGCACATTAAGTTGTGTGGTCGAACTTCCAGCTCACAGCTTTGTTTTCGTCTGATTCACTGAAGAGCCTCGTTTCTGACACTGTTGTGGTTTTTAATTGAGTAATATCAGATTTTGGAGTTCAACAATATCATCATATCAGATGCTATATGTGCTTTTATCAAGATCATCGTGTGTGTGTGCGTGCGTGCGTGCGTGCGTGCGTGTGTGTGTGTGTGTGTGTGTGTGTGTGTGTGTGTGTGTGTGTGCGTGTGTGTGTGTGTGTGTGTGTTGCATATTGGAGCAGGAGATGATCTGAACACGTTATCTCTCTCTTCTCAGGCCGTGATTCAAAGTGCCGAGGTGAGAAGGACGATGGTTTCGTCAGAGTTACGTTCAAGACCGAAAAAGGTAACTCCAAACAGTCTGAATGGAAATCAAATACAACTTGACCATTTTTATTCTAGATGAGCAGCTAAATTAGTGAAGCAGCAGAAAATAATCATCTTTTTGTGAGGATTTTTTTTTCTGGTTGAGATGTCCCATCAGGAAACAGCACGACGAACAAGAAACAAACACCAGAGGATGGGTCGGGGGGTGATGATGATGATGATGATGATGATGGTGGTGTAAATGATGGCATCCTGAACACTTTGCAGATAATTTTGAAATGATGGGCAGAAATGAATTTATTTTAAAAATGGTAAATGGTCTGTATTTGTATAGCGCCTTCTTAGGGTTCTACAACCCCCCAAGGTGCTTCACAACACAGTCATTCACCCATTCACACACTGGTGATGAGCTACACTTAGCTACCGCTGCCCTGGGGCGCCCTGACAGAGGCGAGGCTGCCGAGCACTGGCGCCACCTCTGGTTAAGTATCTTGCCCAAGGACACAACAACAGAATTCTCTGGTCGGAGCCGGGATCAAACCTGCAACCTTCCCATTATTGGACAACCCGCTCAACCTCCTGAGCTACTGCTGTCCCAGAACACAATTCCTCTGGTTTTGATGAGATCTCAAAGATCTGAACATGACATGAGTGTCTTAAGTTAAAGGTTTTGTTTGTTTGTTTGTTTGTTTCCTCAGTTTGTGGGTAAAAACTAAATCTAAACTTTTCACAGTGAAGAAGCTGAAAACTCCTGATTACCACCAATACCTGAAAATGTGGAACCAGGAGTCGAAGCCAAACAGAGAAAACACGAAAGCCCTCCCAAAGCTGAACCAGGTGAGACGTGTTACCTGCAGCTTGGAGTGGCGTAAACCAACGGAGTATAACTGATGTTTCTGTTCCTCAGAGCCAGTTCATAGAGCTTTGCAAGACCCTCTACAGCATGTTCAGTGAGGATGTTGCAGAACAAGAACTCTATCATGCCACAGCAACAGTCACCAGTCTGCTGCTGGAAATGGGAGAAGTGGGAAAGCTCTTTTCCTCCTTTGGCAGAAGGGATCACAACCAGGAGGACAGATCCGAGCCGGGCTTGTGCAGGAGAGCCACACCAGAGGCTCGGGATCTGGGAGATGTTTTCATCCCAGCAGGTCCGGAGAACAAGTCGAGCTCCTGCGAGCAGGGTAAAAGGGTCGAGGGGAGCGAGGAGGAGCTGCCCCCCATGCAGGACATCAAGCTGGAGGACTCGTCCCCCAAAGACACGGGTACCTCATCTGTCATGCTCATTTCAGACGACGACACGTCTGTGTCGTCCTACTCGGTGCTGAGCGCTGGCTCACATGAGATGGATGAAAAGCTTCAGTGTGAGGACATCTCGGACGACACGGTGCTGGTGCGCAGTAACAGTGGCTCCAACAGCAAGGGAATCCACCGTCCTCGCAGCGCGGCGCTGCACGACAGGCGGCTGCCTCACAGCACCAGCATCGACAAAGACTGGGCCATCACATTTGAGCAGTTCCTGGCCTCCGTCCTCACCGAGCACGCACTGGTGCTTTATTTTGAAAAGCCAGTGGATGTGGCTGCACTCATTACTAATGCCAAGAATGTGAGCAAAGTTGGGCGCCCCCTGCTGTCCACCAGTGACTATGAGATCTCGACCTCTGGTTGAGATTTGAGCTAATGAATGTTTTCCCGAGGTGTTGAGGAAAATGTAAATGTGGAATGATGTGACCATAATGTTTCTCCAGACTTTTGTTGTATGAACCACTAGAATCCGTCCAGTGAGGAAGTAACAGGACATGTTATGACCGAAGGGTGTCCATGTAGTAGCTGTACCTTATAAAACATTAACGTGTAATCTCTCGTACTCTAAGGTTATTTCAACATAAACGTCCACAGGCACGGCCCAGCTCCAGTGTGGGATAGTGTAGTCTACGCCGCATTTCATCACCTTTCCTTAGATCTGGTCAAACTGTTGCTTCATATACATTTGCTGCTATTTAATCCTTTAAATTATTATTTAAAGCAAATTACAGAAAACTATAACAAAAATCTATGAAAATGTCATGAGATTATTTTTAAGTATCTAGTTCACTTTTTTCCAATGTTTCACTTTCCCAGAGTATTTATTTTTTTCTTACTGAGTTTACTTTTTTTTACTCGGTAAAAACAGAAACCAACCAATACAACAACATTACTGAACCTTTTTAGGTCATAATTACACTAAAATGTTTACATGGCCTGCTTCCTTGCCTTGTTTCTGTTGTTTGCACTCCAAACTTTTTTTTAAACATTTTTGCTCTTTATATTTTTAACTTGCTTTTTAAAGTTCCTCTTTTTGAATGTAAATATGTTGATTTTAACTGTCCAGGTGTTATAACTCTGGATTGCGGTGCATTGTGTATCACTTGTCTCATTAAACTTGGTGCCATTGAATAACTGCTGTGCTGTTTATGGTCTTTGTTTATTGACTCTTGTTAAAATGAAGCTGCTTCTTTATCGGACTTGAAACACCATCACTGCCATCTAGTGGAGGAAATTGCTAAACTGGATAGAACTCCACTCATGATTCACAATAATCTGAAATATAATAAAGCTTGGCACATGTCCCTTTGGTTAATTTGTTATTACTCTTACAGTTTTCTTCATAAATTGTAGATTGTATCAGGTCGTTCCAGTTTTCTCCCTATCATAGAATTTCTTTGAGCTTTTTTCATAAATGTTTTATTTTGGAGCCTTTTTCCCGAAACAAGTTAAATCATCCAGGTTTTTTATGATCATATGGAGCCATTCTGCGGACAAAACTATATAACACTTGTTAAATGTGCTAATTTTAAGTTAAAATAAAAATCTTTATAATTGAAACTACTCTATCAAAGTAGGAATGCCTGAATTAGTGTGTGATGGCATTCAAATGTAATATTGGAAGTTAGTATCAGTTATTCTTTTAATGACGACTTTTACACACCATGCCAGGGGGGTGGGGGTCTTATTTTATCTTCCATAAATACACTTCATCTCACTTTACATCTGAAAACGAATCTTCATAAACAAAGTTTTAAAAGGTTAAAAGCGTCTCTGGAATGGCGTGAAGAATTAACATAAAAAGGATGAATTTCTTCAGTTCAAAACTTTTGGGAGGATTTTTAAATGAGTATTTTTTTAATCCATGAGAGGGCTTCTGGCATGGAGCACATGATAGTGTTGTGATCTGATATGGAGAGAAAGGAGCGTTTATTTACTGTAAATCTTTCCACAGCCAGCCTTCCTCTGAAAACCAAACGTACTCTGGGGTTGTGGTTGCAGTCGACCAATCAGAGCGCACTAGGTTCACTACAATTAAAATGAGCTGTTTTACTTTTCCCTTTTTAAAAAAAAAATATATTTAAAATATGTTTTTATTTCTTTTTTAAATTTATTTTTAAGCGTTTTTGGTTCTTGTGAAGCGTCTCGTGATTCTAATCTTGAGAAGCGCTATAAAAAATAGTTGTCATGTCTACATGACTCAGCTGTACATTATTGATGCCTCATAAATGGTGTTTATCTAAACAGGACAGTTAAAATGTTAGTTCACCCTATTTCTGTCGGTGTCAGAAATTATATCACATGATTATTTATTATGTTTGGGCAATTGCTTCTTCACATATTATTTTAAAATAACATTTGTTTTTACTTTGTATTGTTATTGGCATTATTATCACTGCTGTTGTTATTGATAAAATTAGTTTCAAAAGAACATTTAATTGTGTTTTATGAACCAGTCTCCTTTATGTAATGTGTGCTCACATTTAGGATGATACTCCCAGCATAAAAACATGTAAACATCTTCTAATTGCAGGGCTCGTGACGACAGACTGAGAGAGGTCCCAGTTTGTTCAACTGTGTGTGTGTGTGTGTGTGTGTGTGTGTGTGTGTGTGTGTTTGTGTGTGTGTTTTCTTGTAATCTTCTTTCTAAGTTTTCGTTTGAGCAAACACTCCCAACTGCTCAGGACCCAAACATGATGTGATGCCAGGTTCTTATCTGCTTCGCCGTGAACTTCAGTCATCAATTCACCCCACGGTCCCCCCACCTGTTGCCTCAACTCTAACAAGAATGGACAATAAATGAATGTAACTGGAGCATGCTGTGATGCTTGGTAATAAATTCTGCAGAACAGGCGGTGGTTTGGTCGACAGGCCCTCATTGGCTGAGAGCTGAGACCAGCCTCCAGTGAAATAATCTGATATTGGCTGATAATGCCAATGTTCAAGCACACTCGGTCCAAACAAGGTAAATAATTACTTAATATTACAGTAAGTTTACAGCAGATAGATCTGCTGACTAAGTAAGGCTGTTTATGGGTCTAAATGGATCCACGCCAATGGTTTAAAGTTAAGACAAAGAATAAAAATCTGTTTAACATGGTTAGTTTTAGAAAAGTTCTGGACACTTATTAGAGTTTGGATGAGATTTGCTGAATTGCTGTTTTCATGTAAAATGTTTGCCCTTTGAGGTAAATTGAACATTGACTATCTGTCACTCAATGGACTTTGATTCAAACCAGCCACTCAGAAGTACACAGTGACGCCTCTCTGTGGATGTCATAAAAAAAAAGTCCAACCGGAAAAATATATAAATGCAGAGCAAGAGATGCTTCTCTCCTCTCTGTGCATGGAGGCCCTTCATGGATTAAAACCTGGCCCCTCAAATCCAGGCTACTGAAGATCAAAAGGATTCTTGAATCCAGTCAAAAACCATGTAAGTAGATGTTCAAATATAAATGATTAATAAAGGAGGTAAGTGTTTGTTTTACTGTGATTTATTGTTTCTGCTGATGTGCACCAGTCAGCAGGAAACATGGTGGGACTCAAACCCTCAGATGTTCCTCCTCCTCTGGGGGTAAAGATGGCAAGTGCTGGAGCAGCAGCATGTGTGGCTGACATTGTCACCTTTCCTCTGGACACGGCTAAAGTCAGACTACAGGTAATGGATGGGTCTCTCTAAAATATAAAATATGTAAAAAAACAATAAAAAGAAATTAAACGTTCTATTACGTCAGGAATGACGGGTGTGGTGACAGTTGGCCTTGCTAGTTCTGAACACAGTAACACAGTGTGATGTTTGCTCTGTTGACTGATCATCAGTGTTGGGCAAGTTACTTCAGAACTGTAATGCATTATTTATTACTTGTTATCCTTGTTTTAAAGTAATTCATTACATTACAATATTACTGATTTTAAAATGTAAGGCATTACACTACTTTTGCATTACTTTAAGTTACTTTCACCAAAACAACTTCAATATGAATCTGGTAATGTGACGCTCAGTGAGCTCATGACATATATGTAGAAAGTGATGTGGTGTCTGAGCTAGGATTGCTGTTAAAAACAGTCAGATATGCTTTAAAATGATTGTTTATTAAATAAAAGCAACAACAATCTGTACTCTCAGCACGCTGCCATCTTATAGCGCCATCTGAGCAGGGAGTGAGGTGGTGGGGGCTCCAAGCCTATATTTGCCTTGGTCCCCAAATGCCTTGATACGGCCCTGGATGTGGGACTGACTTCTGGGGTGATCTGATTCTATCACATGTATAAATATTAAATGCTTATATATTATTGCTTTTTACTGGTAAAAATGTGAATTGGGGATAAATCTACCAACTTTTTTTCTTTTCAAGCACTTTTGTTTTGTTTTCTCGATTTTATTTGAATAATTTCCATCCCTTTCTCTCTCTAACCTTCCTGCATGCTGCATGTTTTCTCCGTCTTCCAGAAAAACTGTTTCCTAGATTTCCTACTTTCTAACTAATCAGCCAAAGGGATCTACCGAACGCAAAAAAAAAAGCTTAACCCTTTGATGACAGGTACTCAAAATTGCTATTTATTTATTTTGCTATTAAGCACAGCTGTTGAATACTTCATTGCATTTGAGCCCCTCCATTTGGACTTCAGCAAGTCCAGCCAACATAGTTCATGTTCAGAATGCACGCTGTCCACTGAGGTGGACATGTAATAAATTATCTGTAAATTACAAAATTTTACAAAAAAATATTTGTTGAAATTTGTTTCATTCACAAGTAAAGATGAAAGAAAAAAATGTTACAAAAATCATGGTTGAAGATTTCACAATTCATGCATTAAAGGGCTAATATGCGCTGCGCTCCAGCAGCAATTAGTTGAAATCACGGGGGCACAGATTATGAAAAGTACATGAAGTACCAGAGAATATGAGCTGATATAAACAATCACAAACGAATGACTTTGTTTTGGTGGAGCGATTTTGTGAATATAACAGCGGCCGCGCGCAGGACACAGCTGGAGTATTTGAGCCATTACCGCTGCGTCCTCTCTGCTCATAGAATGCCCGCAAAGCTGAGTCCATAAATGACGTCATATATGTAGATACTGGATCTTTTTTCAGGCTTCCCGCAATTTGAATTTTTAGGAAACCCACATCTTAATTCTGGGTTTAAAAATGCATTGTAATTACCGCGTTACTGACAATTGTACCGAGTAAATATTACCATTTTCTTTCCCTGTACTGCCACATTACAGCAAAAAGCAATGCATTACAGTAATTAATTACTTTTGTACCGCATTACTCCCAACACTGCTGATCATATTCACTCTGGGCTCATTTGCTTCCCCTAAATCAATAGTGGACATCCAGCCATCTGCAGCAGCGAGCTACACCACTACAAACTGACCGGTTTTAATCTTGACTGTTCAGATTCAGGGAGAGAAGAAGGGAGTGGAGGGCATCCGCTACAGAGGGGTGTTTGGAACAATCAGCACCATGATCCGAACAGAGGGGCCCAGATCTTTGTACAATGGGCTGGTGGCTGGACTTCAGAGGCAGGTGTGCTTTGCCTCCATCAGGATCGGCCTCTACGACAACGTCAAAAACTTCTACACCGGTGGCAAAGACAGTAAGCTAACCCTAACAGGAAGCAAACCACACCCATTCCCCTTATGATTGTCACTTAACACAGCCCAAGTGCAAGGGAATAGAGTGACACTAGCAGTACTGTAGTCAAGTCACCAACTCTCACGTCCATTTTATTAGTGTTCAAGTCCAAGTCACATAGGAGCAATCCGAGTCAAATATGAGTCAAGTCATTGTGTCCTACAGACCAAGCCCAAATCCCACTCCAGCTGTTACTGTTCAAGTCCAATTTACAGGATTAATCCAAGTTGAATCTATGTCAAGTCACTCTGTCATTCAGACCAATCCCAAGTCCCAAAAATATTCTTCCAGTCCAAGTCCAGCATCCAATTTCAATCAACACTTGTTATGTTTGCACCCAGAAAAGTTGTGAAACTGCTAACGTTGGATTTAGCATGTAGCCGATGGTAATATTAGCTTAGGTTATATTAAATCAGATTACAAGATAATTATAACAACAGCAGCTTCCCAAAGCCTTTTAAAGGTATTGGTGAAATGTTGATTGATTATCGTTTTCAAATTTATTTTAAGCATGTTTTATTTAGCCTCATGCTACTGTGTTAGCTTGGTGCTAACAATGAGGCATTGAGTTCCAGTCTCATGTTCTATTGTCCTCCTGCATATTGTACATCTGGCACCACTTTCTCTTGACTTTGAGGATACATCTTTAAAAAGACAATCCGTACAATGCCTGATACACAAGAACTCTCTCTGGACATGTTTAATACATTGAACGGCAGCATGCCACATTTACACGTAGAGTTCACACAGAGTTCAAGTCCAAGTTCATGTCTTTACTGCTCGAGTCAAGTTACAAGTCCCTTAAAAGTGACTTGAGTCAGGAATCAAGTTTGAATCCAAGTTTTGAGTACTAGATTCTTGCTTCCTGGGTGCGCAGAATTATTAGGCAAGTTGTATTTTTGAGGAATAATTTTATTATTGAACAACCATGTTCTCAATGAACCCAAACAACTCATTAATATCAAAGCTGAATGTTTTTGGAAGTAGTTTTTAGTTTGTTTTTAGTTTTAGCTATTTTAGAGGGATATCTGTGTGTGTGCAGGTGACTATCACTGTGCATAATTATTAGGCAACTTAACAAAAAACAAATATATACCCATTTCAATTATTTCTTTTTACCAGTGAAACCAATATAACATCTCCACATTCACAAATATACATTTCTGACATTCAAAAACAATACAAAAACAAATCAGCGACCAATATAGCCACCTTTCTTTGCAAGGACACTCAAAAGCCTGCCATCCATGGATTCTGTCAGTGTTTTGATCTGTTCACCATCAACATTGCATGCAGCAGCAACCACAGCCTCCCAGACACTGTTCAGAGAGGTGTACTGTTTTCCCTCCTTGTAAATCTCACATTTGATGATAGACCACAGGTTCTCAATGGGGTTCAGATCAGGTGAACAAGGAGGCAATGTCATTAGTTTTTCTTCTTTTATACCCTTTCTTGCCAGCCACGCTGTGGAGTACTTGGACACGTATGATGGAGCATTGTCCTGCATGAAAATCGTGTTTTTCTTGAAGGATGCAGACTTCTTCCTGTACCACTGCTTGAAGAAGGTGTCTTCCAGAAACTGGCAGTAGGATTGGGAGTTGAGCTTGACTCCATCCTCAACCCAAAAAGGCCCCACAAGCTCATCTTTGATGATACCAGCCCAAACCAGTACTCCACCTCCACCTTGCTGGCGTCTGAGTCGGACTGGAGCTCTCTGCCCTTTACCAATCCAGCCACAGGCCCATCCATCTGGCCCGTCAAGACTCACTCTCATTTCATCAGTCCATAAAACCTTAGAAAAATCAGTCTTGAGATATTTCTTGGCCCAGTCTTGACGTTTCAGCTTGTGTGTCTTGTTCAGTGGTGGTCGTCTTTCAGCCTTTCTTACCTTGGCCATGTCTCTGAGTATTGCACACCTTGTGCTTTTGGGCACTCCAGTGATGTTGCAGCTCTGAAATATGGCCAAACTGGTGGCAAGTGGCATCTTGGCAGCTGCACGCTTGACTTTTCTCAGTTCATGGGCAGTTATTTTGCGCCTTGGTTTTTCCACACGCTTCTTGCGACCCTGTTGACTATTTTGAATGAAACGCTTGATTGTTCGATGATCACGCTTCAGAAGCTTTGCTATTTTAAGACCGCTGCATCCCTCTGCAAGATATCTCACTATTTTTGACATTTCTGAGCCTGTCAAGTCCTTCTTTTGACCCATTTTGCCAAAGGAAAGGAAGTTGCCTAATAATTATGCACACCTGATATAGGGTGTTGATGTCATTAGACCACACCCCTTCTCATTACTGAGATGCACATCACCTAATATGCTTAATTGGTAGTAGGCTTTCGAGCCTATACAGCTTGGAGTAAGACAACATGTATGAAGAGGATGATCTGGACAAAATACTCATTTGCCTAATAATTCTGCACTCCCTGTAGTGTTTATTGTGGCGGCTTATGGTCAAGGCAAATCTCACATAGTTACAAAAAGCAGCTCTGCATGTAAAGTTCAGATGCGGCTCTCACAAGGAGAAACTAAACCTTCTCCTCCTTCCAAATCAGGATGGATCCATCCATGTAGGACATTAACCAATCCCTGTCTTAGACAGCTTGTTCCAGAAATTCCATTTATTTTTAAATTTTCCAGGAATTCTTCATGTCTGATATGTTTGACTTTTTGCTAATAGATCTACAAAGGAGAACACAATGACAATGCATAAATCATGTTAACTTCAGTCCCAATTTCTTTTAATCCATCTTTAGGTATAAAATGTTACATTTTAAAGTTCATTTAATTTTGAAGGTATTTTTAAAAGTGTTTTTCTAAAAGTTTTTCATGCCCAATTAAGTGGACAACATGCATATTGACTTTAATATAGCTGTATTTCACAAACAAATAATCGAACTTTATAATATACTATGACAGTGCACACACAACCAGTGGATGACAGTGTTTGAAGTGACACAATAGAGTCCAAAGCAATGGCTTATGTGCAAGTACCGTCAACACCCATGTACAAGAAAGCATCTTTTAAATAACAATCCACTGTAGCTACTATAATGCATCATTCATAGAACCGCTTGTTTCTGTCTGTCTTCCCTCAGATCCAAGCGTGCTGATGCGGATCCTTGCTGGCTGCACAACAGGTGCCATGGCCGTATCGTTTGCACAACCCACTGACGTGGTTAAGGTTCGATTCCAAGCCCAGATGAACCTGGATGGTGTGGCTCGTCGCTACAACGGCACAATGCAAGCGTACAGACACATCTTTCAAAACGAGGGATTACGTGGACTCTGGAAAGGTGCTAAATAAGCACAAAAACAAGAGTAACACACAGATTTCCTTTACTTTGTGAACTTTTATTTGATGTGTTTTTGAGTCTGTTTCTAATGCTGTAAAGGTTAAAAACGTTAACATATGATTGCTCACGCCATAAAGGGTTAAAAGAGTTAACATGGTGTGTGTGTGTGTGTGTGTGTGTGTGTGTGTGTGTGTGTGTGTGTGTGTGTGTGTGTGTGTGTGTGTGTGTGTGTGTGTGTGTGTGTGTGTGTGTGTGTGTGTGTGTGTGTGTCCTGCAGGAACACTACCCAACATCACCAGAAACGCACTGGTCAACTGCACAGAGCTGGTTACCTACGACCTGATCAAAGAGGCCATTCTTCGACACAAACTGATGTCAGGTAACAGGGTGGAGCTTCACTCTAACACACACCATCTCAGAGAAAGCTGCTGATTGGACTAGACTCCCTCCACCCACTCACCTCTCCACCAGCTGATAACAGCATGCACACACACACACACACACACACAGAAAAGATTGTATTGTCCCTGATAGTGTTGTAACCGTACACATATCATTTACTACAGTCATCTGTATTGCTCCATTCATCAGATTATCCTGATTCAGGTCTTCATCAGCTGAAAACCTCACATCCGTTTATCTCCATCATCTCTCCACAGATAACCTCCCGTGTCACTTTGTATCTGCATTCGGAGCGGGCTTTGTTACCACGGTGATCGCCTCCCCAGTAGATGTGGTAAAAACCAGATACATGAACTCTCCGCCAGGCCAGTATAAGAGTGCTATGAACTGTGCATGGACCATGCTGACTAAGGAGGGGCCCACTGCTTTCTACAAAGGGTGAGTTCCCCTCATTTGGCTCCCTTCTGTTTAGGGAGCACTTGTGAATGATGAATTTGCTTCTCCGTAGATTTGTTCCATCATTTCTGAGGTTGGGGTCGTGGAACGTTGTGATGTTTGTCTCGTTTGAGCAAATCAAGCGGGCCATGATGGTCACAAAGAAGAGGATTGAAGCAGCTAACTGAGGCCTAGCTGGAGTAGGTCGGAACAAGAAGGAATGTCTGTTTTCCTAAAAATTGAGACATTTTTATTTAACTTTACATGTATAATTCACCTTTTGTCTGAGTCGTTAGCACCTGAAGACCTGCTGGGTGATACCTCCTAAACATGTGCACACAAACATCTGTACCATGAATGTAAAATTTGTTGCTGTAAATCTTAAATATAGTTGATGTTTTACAGATGCTGCTCTGTTCATTGACTCGGATACTAAGCAGTTGCTCTTGCTTTTAGCACCACCTAGTGGCCATTATTAGCTCACCGAGAAAGAAACGTTTCTCCTCGCTGTGCGTGTCTTTTTAAGGGGAGACTAGGAAGTTTGGTCTTGCTTTCAGCGCCTTGGCCCCCAAAATGCCTTGAAACAGCCCTGGGTGTGTGACTGAGTTTTGAAGGTGATCTGAATTGTATCAGATGTATAAATTATACATGTGTATAGCTTATTGTTTTATACAGGTAAAATCGTGTAGTGGAGATAAATCTACCTACATTTTACTTTTCAAACTGTTGGGTAGATAACACGGAAGGGGAGGACTGTAAGGTGTTGATTCAGGTTTGCAGCTGCCACTCCCCGGAGTGTCGGCCAGAACACTACTCTAGGCCCGGATGGCGATTCAGGAAGAAGACACCGAAGATACCCAGGATGGTTTAAACGCTTGTATTGCCTCCACACAGTCAAAGGTAACAGGCTTGTTGGAGGAGCAGGTGTTACATACCAGTTTAGTTACAGGTGTGTGTGTGTGTTCTCTGAAATGAACAGAAAGAAAATAGTACATCACTAAAATGTTCATAAAAGTAACTCAGAGTACATCAACAGAAACACAGGTAGGAAAGAAACTAACGTCCCCTTTGCTACCATAAACCAGATATTACCCACATCCCACTGAGCTAACTCAGCACAATTAACCCCAATCACACGGCAGGAGAGCTAGCCTAACTTACCGTAAATCCTCTAATACAGGCTGGTATTCAATTAAAGGCAGGGTCTCCAATTTTGGCCGGTGTCTGAGTTGGTGGAGGTGAATAATGGCCGGTCTCTTATTGTGGCCGGGTGGAATGTGGTAACAAGCAAGTACGGGGGCGGTTGTGTCATCGTCTCACTTTTGATTTGCGAGTTATAGACCGCGAGGGTAACTTTAACCGTGCGGAGACGAAGAGGAGGCGAAAATTTGATATCAAGTTCAAAGAGAACGTGCGCTGCAGAACACTGGGGAGCAATAGGGGTTGTATGAACTAGTCGACTTCACAATAGTGGCTTTTTAAGGATAAACTGGCCCTCCTTCCAGTAAAGGCCTGGAGCTTGATGAGCTTGAGTCAAATACAGGCCCAGGCCTGTATTAGAGGATTTACGGTAGCTTAGCTTAACACTCGCTAGCGACACAAACAGAAACATCGTCACTTCCCTCTAACTTCGATTACAGTCACAAACACATTTTATCCGCACATCCTCACACATCACAGACTTACGTTGCTCAGTAACGCACACTTCTCACAAAATGACCACTTCTCTGCTGGTAATCGGGAGCAAACACACTCATATAGATCTCACCCACGTATCCACCTGTCCAAAACCTCTCCCATCCAAAGGGTGGGGTGACCTCTACAGGTCACTCTAAGCAACTACAGGTGAACAACAAAACTCACAACTATGGGGCCTTTTGTACATAAACATTTTTCTTTTTCTTGTTTTTATTTTCCTGTTCTGTCTCTCATCTTCCTTCATCTCCTCTAAACTCTCAAGAAAAACTGCTGCCCGGACTCTTACTTTTTCACCTCATCAGTTACTTTTGACCTACGCGGATCAAAGGGATCTCCAAACCACAAAGCGGAGTACACTTTTGATGCTGTCAGTGAGATGAGCAATACATGTGCATCAGGCACGATTAAAAGACAGAGTACCAGAGGACAAGAACAATCGTGTGTTAATTATAGTTTTGTGGTTGCGCCACTTTGAGAATGTACCATGCGCAGAACGCAGCTGCCTGGAGCGCACCAACGATCAGCGCTCCGCAACTCTCTGTACTCTCCGCTCAAAAGCACCCCCGGTAGTTGAGAGTCCATATAAATTATGTAATCCAGCTCCCCCATAATTTGATCCCTGCTCCCGGATGAAAAACCGGACATTATCATCAATGCAAGACCCCCCCCACCCCCACACAAACACACAGTGAAAAGTGGACATGCCCGGCCTCCTGGTTTGATGTCGGCTCCGACTTTCTCCACGCATGGGAGATTTAAACACAAAACGGGAGATTCTCTTAAATGTGTGACAGCTTGCATGCTACTCTCCAGGCCAGCGCATGTCAGCACAGAGTGCACGCGGGTTGTGGGGTGGTGGTGTGCGTTCAAGAGTTGGGGTTGCTAAGCCGTTGCTTGGCCCAATCTTAGCTACCGCCTGGCGCCGCCCATGCAGCACCCCCTTGTGTCCGTTTATTAGAACTGAAAGCCAAACTTATCGCCTCACTGTTTGTCATTTTTAACACCTTAATCTAACAGCTGAAATGTCTCCCAGACTTCCTTAGTGTCTACAGAAGTGGCTCATCACTGAATTAAACAAATCAGCTGTGTTCATGATCTACAACATGCAGGAAACGTGCTGGAAGCAGACTCCAGCTCCACCATCACAACTCCACAGCTCCCCCCGCTAGTGGGGAACACGGCGACTCTGAAGTTGCAAGTGCGGTATTCTGGCCACAGAGGGTGGTGGGTGTCTGACGGACATAACCCTGTAAAAGGTCATTTTAGAACATACTTGCTCAAGAAAATGATTATAAATATGAAAAAGTTGCATAGTGTCCCTTTAAAATATTGACACAAAACACTTTTTAAATCAACGGCAACTTTATTAACTTTAAGTAAGACGTGTGAGTATTTACAATCCTTCCTCGTTAAAACAATAAAAAGTCAGAATGTACTAATTCATTACAGCTGGGGAATGTAGAGCTTCAAAATACATCAAGCAGAAACGTATGAGCAAAACGATGAAAACACACGAATTATACACAAATAATTCTTTTAACTTTATTCTCCTGCAGAAATGCAACCCTCAAAAGGGCTTAAAAGACTCATGAATCATTAGCAGCAGCTCTCGTGTTTCCAGTTCAAACTATTCTAGCCTGGCCAGACAGACTCGCTCTGTTTAATTCTCAGTCTCTGTGCAGAATTAAACAGAGCGAGTCTGGCGGGCCAGGCTAAAACAATTCACCCACTGGAATGGTCATTTTTGAGGCGTGGGGGAGTCCAGACTTGTGCTGTATGTGGAAAACCTTCTCATCACAGCAACGAGACGGACGGAGAGTCGCTGGTGAATCACTATACAAACGGTGGAGACGTTTTAGTTTGAAGCTAACAAGCTCTCCTCTCCTGCTCGCCTGCCTCAGCTCCTATCTGTCCGATCAAACTTCCGAAACGCGTTAGTTAGAGTTGGAATCCAGCTTGAGAGACACGTCGGGGCTCCGTAGAAGGGTCTTCACCACTTCGTGGAATTGTTCTCTGTACTGGTTGAACTGCATGATGCTTTCTGGTTTTTCTGACACCCAGAATTTATCAAACTCGTACACCAGGTAACCTAGGGAAGGAGGCATGCACTAACAGTAAGCAAGTGAGTAAATATGTGAATGAGGGAACATTTTTGTTTTAGAATGACTCACAGTAGAGCTGATGAAAGTGCTTCAGTTCGGGACGGCCTTGGACTGTGTTGTAGAAATGTGGCTTCAAAGCACCGCTCCTCAACAGGCTGTAGGCCATTTCAGTCAGGTTGATCCCAACTATAGCGTAGGAATACCTGGAATATAAGCAGCCAAGTCCAAATTCAGCAGCATACCTTTTAAAACAAAACCCAGACATGCTTGTGTAACCCAACCTTTCCACCGGACTTGTACGCGTTGCGTTACGACCACAAAGTAAGCAGCCATTAGCCGCCGTTACAGTGGACAGTTGTGGTTTTAACGGCAGCGAAATGTTGAGTTTTGGACGTATCCTAGAAGCGTAAGAATGACTTGCTTACGCATCAAACTCCGCAGCTCAGATTAGACCAGACAGGAAGTCAAAATCGAAAGCAGTGTAAAACCTCCATGAACTTTCAAAATAAAAGTCACGAGCAAATTTCCAGTTGATCAAGTCACCCCCTACCAGAGGATTACTCCGCTCCCACTTCCTGTTTGAAAAATGCAACAAATGCTGTTGCCTAGCAGACCGAGAGGGTGGAGCCGCTAACAAATACACACACACAGGCTCACAATAACATTGTGACATCATATGGTACCAGCTAATGTTCTAGGGCAGGGGTGTCAAACTCACACGGGGCCGAAATGAAACTCTGGGACGGAGTCGAGGGCCAAACTTAATATTTTTGAAAAAGTGACGGCAAATTTGCACATTTTCTTTATCAACATAAATGCAATTTTGAACATTTTAGTTTGGAAACAAACATATTTCTGCATTAACACTGAATGTGGAATAACCAAATTACACACGAGCAAGTCAGTTACAAATAAAAGGCATCAGTGGTATTCATTACTTGTGGTATAATCAGCATTTTATAAATCTATTCAGGATTTATGTTTTCTTGTTTATTCATTTTTCTTATTTTTTATTCTCCTTTTTTTTCTCCTGTAATACGTGTCATCGCTGCTGTGACGTCTAGCTTTCCCCACTGAGGAACAATAAACGGATTTTCTATTCTATTCATCTATCTGCAGCCTTTCCACTTCCTGTTTACTGTAGGTTAAATCTTTTCTCACGAGCCAACAACAAAATAAAAATATCATTTTATCTTAAATGAAAATGCAACATCTCACCTGTTAACTTTCATGTTTTGGAGCAGAAAAAGAGCATAAATCCAACATACAGTATTTAAAGCTCAGTTTGCTCCACTGGTTTACTGTGATGCTCACCTGTTCCAGCCAGATACCTGCATCATGGGGTTGATCTGAGCTGAGGAGGAGACTCCTGTTGTTTTGTTCATCTTCATCATAATAATGACAACATTAGATGTCAACAGGTGCTCACATAGGTTTGTGCTGATGAACATGTCTGAGCAGCTTGACCACGTTGTTGTGTGTCGGGGAGGAAACACAACGACAGCAGCCACAGAGCCGTGCTGGTTTGAGCGTGTCGCTGCTCGCTGGAGTTATATCAGCTCTGTCTGGAAGTTAGTTGGAAAACTTTTTCTTTCAGTCGTGAACACATTACTGAGCGGCTAGAATCTCAGTTTCTGGGCTTCAACGTCAGAAAATAGCTGAGTGAACTCGGCGCTGAGTGAGAGGAGTGTTAAGTTAGAAAAAACACAAAGGAGGGGGCGCGTCGGCTCCGCTCTAACGCCGCAAAGCATCATGGGAGTTGAAGTCTTTGCGGTAAAATCGGCCAGCGGGCCAGTTTTAATATATTTTTGATATTTTTCTCACGGGCCACATAAAAATGCTCCGCGGGCCGCATCTGGCCCGCGGGCCTTGTGTCTGACACATGTGGTCTAGGGTATTTCTTAGCCAATAGCGATGGCAGATTTAAATTCAAATGCAGTGCAGTTTTTACCTGACAACGGCACAAAACTGACAGTTTTAGGCAGAACATTTAAATTTGAACTAAAATGCACTAAAGTGCAAACCTATTGACTACACGTGTCTGCAGCACGATTAGACACGCATTTATATAGTTTATCAGACAAAAAGTTGATTTGGGGGTGACTTACTCTTTAACTAGTAAAACAAGTATGTGATTCCCTGTGAAACCACTGTAGCAGAGTTAAACAGAAAATAAACCACTGAACTTTTTGGATACATTCCGTTGCTTGGTTCTTATCTAAACACAGCGTAGCAAAGATTTGTTTTTAACTTTTAAGCTAAGAAGTTTCAGCTAAATCTGTAGCCATCCTCACTTCCTTCTCCTTTTATCCTCGCTGATGACAATGTCCCGTGAGCGATCCAATGTGTAAACTCCATCTCTGTTCATGGTCCTGGGTCCATGTCTCCTTATTTCTATGGCTTCTGTAATCCATCTTTTGTATTTTTGTTGCTCTATGTTTATGATCCCTTTCCAGTCCCTTATATGGTTTTCCCTTGAGCAGTAGTCTGTTACGGCTGATTTCTTTATTTTACTTTCTGCTTCTTGTTTTGTGGCTCTTAAGTGTCTTTAAGTAGTTTCTTTCTCACACTCTTTTCTATGTTGTGTTGTCCGTGTGTCGAGTTGGCCTCCCGTTTCTCCTGTGTACGTTTTATTGCAGAGTTTGAATGGGATTTTGTTTACGACTCCACGCTTGTCCTGCTGAAATCTAGTCTTTTGGGTGTACTAGTCTCTCTCTGACTGCCATTACAGTTCTGTTGGTGTGTTTATGTTGGTAAAAACAAATCTTTACTATGCTGTGCTTAGAAAAGAACCAAGCAATGAAATTTGACGGGTAACACGAACATCTTCCTGTGATTTTGTGACCTCGTGGGTCCAGCCGCGTTGAGCTCTTTTGCTGCTGTTTCTCATCGTAAACCTTCCCAGTGAGTTTGTGTCCGGTGGAAAGTACCGAAAAGAAGGTCTTTTACCCAAATTCAGGGTGGTTTGCATGAGACAACACCTGACGGGCTTCTGCTGTGTAGTTTTCACTGAAAAAACTGCAAAAAAAAAAAAAAACAGAAATAAACAAAGACAGTTACCTTAGTATTTCCTTCATAGATCATATCATCCCATTATTAAACTATTTATCTGTTGAGCACTCACACCAGGTTGATCAGACCCAGCAGGCCCATTCCTCTGAAGTCAGTTTTTGGGTCATCTCCTTGGAATCCGATGTCTCCCCACTGCTTGGTTATTCTAGACTCCAGTTTGGCTCCTGGCATCAAATGGTCCCACAGCTGGAAGAGGGAATAAATCTGAGGTGAAACATATGAACAGACTCTAAACTGAGTGGCAGGTGCTTGGATGATTATTATTTTAGAAAAGCTGTTATATCAGACACAAAAAAGCCAAAGTTTCACAAAAAAAAGGATCCAAGAAAGTTTCAGACTTCACACCTTCAAAAGCATGGCCTCGTGATCGGGGTTCTCTGAGCTGAAGACGACTTTCCTCAGGTCTTCTACAGATGTGTACAAGCTGCTGTATCCAGTTATCTGCAGCAGACAGGTGTGGAGTGTCCCCTTGAATCTAAATGAGAAAAAAATACCACATCAGAACAAATCACTGATAAAATATGGTACCCATTATAAATAAATAACTAACTAAACACAGGAAAGCAAACCAATAAGTGAGCTTACTGGGGATTCTTTTGAGGTTGTATACTCTTCGCCCTCATGATTTGATCCACACATTGCTCCAAATTCTCCGTGTTGGTGTCCAAGGATCCTCTTAAAACCTTATCAGAGGGAAAACCAGGTTGAAGGATGTAACAAAAACACAAACAAGGGCATCAGAGAGAAAACGGCCACAGAAGCTGGTGTGACTGAATCATCTGCCTCCACAGAGAAGAAACATGTTTAAAAGCCGAAGATGCACATCAGCACATCTGAGTGAACGCTGAATGGACTGTTGATGAGGAAATGCTCACCAAGTCACGATAATAAACGATTTCTTATCTTAGCTTGGCTAGAGTGATTTAAGATAAAGAGCTGAGAGGACATGCCGATATTAAAGTTCGCACCAGCCTAAAAGATAAGCGAGATTAAGCGTGAAGCAAACACGACAGTTTTAGACATCTGTGGACGAGCAAAGTTTACGTTGATCCAGCCTGAAACCGATTCAGATTACGTCTTATGAAGACGTTTCACTCGGAGTTGTCTGCTGCATTTCTTGTTTTCACAAAACACATCGAACAAACTTTCATTGTAATTCACTAGAATATAAATGTAATTTATATTCTAGTGAATTACAATGAAAGTTTGAAAACTAAACAAACTTTTTTTTAAAATAAAAATAAAATACTGACAGCTGTGCTGCGACTCCAGATGTTTCTTCAAATGTGATGTAGTATTTCTGGAGCTAGACAACTATATTTTCACCTTTAGCCGACACAAACTCAAAACAGTGGCTGTATTTCCTGCTGGAAAACATGCATCTCTCCTCGTTTTGTGGTTGCTGGCTGCTTACAGCTACACTGCCATTAACTGGTTTCTTCTGCCTGCTACTACAGGTTGACAGATATCTTTTTTTTTTTCATTGGCGATAACAATGCCGATATGTAGACGTCACGGTCAGCCGACGGGCGATGTGTTCTGACGATTTTCTGGGCTGATATCTAGACATTTTTCATCTTATTTGCTGAAACTTCACTAATAACATCAATGGAATCGTTTTCTGAGCACTGAACTTAACCGACTGTTAAACCTTCATTTCATGCACAGCTCCATGTTAAAATCAGACATTTAACTAAAGTTAATCTAACAAATCAATTAACTGACCAATATTTAAGTATTCAAAACTGGTTTATAAAAATTAATTTTGGTTGGGAATAGTTTTAGAGCATTTACAGTTTTTCTCAGTCGCTTTGGTGCATTTCTCGTCGTCGTCTTCCTCCGCTTATCCGGGTCCGGGTCGCGGGGGCAGCGTCCCAACTAGGGAGCTCCAGACCGTCCTCTCCCCGGCCTTCTCCACCAGCTCCTCTGGCAGGACCCCAAGGCGTTCCCGGACCAGACTGGAGATGTAACCTCTCCAACATGTCCTGGGTCGACCCGGGGGCCTCCTGCCGGCAGGACATGCCCGAAACACCTCCCCAGGGAGGCGTCCAGGAGGCATCCTGACCAGATGCCCAAACCACCTCAACTGACTCCTTTCGATCCGGAGGAGCAGCGGTTCTACTCCGAGTCCCTCCCGAATGTCAGAGCTCCTCACCCTATCTCTAAGGCTGAGCCCGGCCACCCTACGGAGGAAACTCATTTTGGCCGCTTGTATCCGCGATCTCGTTCTTTTGGTCAGAACAGTTCAGAGGATCTTTCATGGATGTAAATTCTAAGAGTCGAAGTGCCCGGCCCGGAGGGTTACCGGGGTCCCACCCTGGAGCCAGGCCTGGGGTTGGGTGTACAGAAACAAACCTGGTGGCCGGGCTTTCGCCCATGAGGCCCGGCCGGGCCCAGCCCGAACCGGATACATGGGCTCATCCAACTGTGGACCCACCACCCGCAGGAGGAACATGAAGGGTCCGGTGCAATGTGGATCGGGTGGCAGACCGAGGTGGGAGCCTTGGCGGTCCGATTCCCGGACAAGGAAACTGGTTTTTTGGTGCATTTCTCACAACAGAATTAAACTTTGCACAACAGCTAGTGCAACCTCCACAACAAGAAGTCATTTGGGCGCGACCTAGTGGCAGTTTCATGTTACTTTCATCAAATTGGACATGAAGCAATTAAGTACAAATATCTGCAAGACCACTTTTGACTTGTTTTTGTCATAAATGAACTCTACTTGTACAAGCTGAATATTCATTGTTCATACAACTAGTAATCTTCATTTCATTGCTTGTGTCATCACACACAACATTTGAAGTAAAGAAGCTCCATTCGCATATAGATATAGAATCTGCCCAATAACCAATACTGGTATGGTCTCTAATTTATGTGCTGCTTTTAAGAAATTAAACCACTTCTACATAGATGACATTTTCTCACCTGGCTCTTAGATGATTTCAGAGAGTATTCTAGAAGAGGACACAGTAGGTGGATTAGTACAAAGGAAAAAGAAAGAAAGAAAGTTAACCATGTGTTACTAATATCCACCTGCTCTCGTAGTCATGGAAGCCCCCGGCTTATACCCGGAGCAAATTCTCTGAAGCTCACATGTCCCTGTTGCCTGTCTGATGAGCCACTTCAGCCAGTATCTCAGGAAGGTTGTGTAGACATACTGCCAGATACACCCAAACATTTCTGACATGAAGATAGAAAGCAACAGATCATAAATACCAACAAGCTGCTAGATTTTTTAAACATTTATCTTCGTGATTCATTCTGGTGACAATTAATAAGCGAATGAATCCTTCCTGCACTACATCATGTGAGAAATTTTATTACAGAGAGGGATATATATTCTGGTAAAATATGGATGAATAAAAAGTTAACAAATGGACTAAATACATGAAGGATTCTTGGGTGATTAACATCTAACCTTAAGACTAAAAACCCATCATCAGTGGTCTCCATCACTTTAACAGCTGATCAGAATGCTTTCAGTGTTCACAATCCTGTCTTATGGCGGTGCATCTAGTTGATCTACACTGTAACCTCAACATCATAAAGCACAGCTTTGTGGGTTAATGTTCATATAAACTAACTGAGCAGCTTATTTGCTGCATCTGCAGTCAAGTAAACTGCAAGGTGCTTTTTACCTTTATAAAGTTTGTCGGACGGTCTGGTATTTCCAACAACGTTTAAATTTTGTTATTGTTACAATTTGATAAAAATCTGCAAATCACACATTTATTTATTTCCTCTAAGCTACATCTGTTCCTGACATTCATCATTTGAATGATAACTGGTACCTATGTTTACTATTTTACAACTGAGCGGTGAACCAATCTTTTATGTTCCATAAATACAGCTGATCAGTTTGTATCACAGCTGACTGGGTAATAAATTAATTTCTGCTAAAACCAGTCACAGAGCCTGTCAGTCAGTGTTCGAGAAGGTCAGACCACTGTGGCTCACTATTACAGTGTTTCTCCGTTGGTTTGCTCATTTCTTCAAACAGAATTTACAATCTCAAAACAACATGGTCAAACCTCCAAACCTCTTGGCAAATGTTCACAACAGAATGGCATTTCTCATTCATTTTATCAAATGGCAAACGCCTTAGTACATGTCTCAATTGTCCCAGTGCTTCTTTGCAAATGATTAAGTACATGTAGCCTACAGTTTTACAGCTAGCCCACATTTAGCACATTTTCCAAATGAATAGATCTTGTAGATCTAAACTGATTAGTTGATTCTCAGTCTAATGATCGTTCTCTCCAAACTATGTCAGCATGATATAATTGTATAAGTAACCGCATGCACAGCTGTCTGTTCAATTGTTAGAATTGGTCAAGAACCAATGTGAATACCATATATGAATTTCTTTGAATATTTGATACATGGATGACAGTCATTGACAGTCAGGTGAAACTAGACTAGCGGGGAGTGTCTCACACACAGGTGTGTTCCATGATCGTGTGCTGCCAAACAGATATATTGAGCTTGACCAGCGACCACTGAATACGTCCTTGTTTTTTGATTTTGTGTGCATACAATTTACTGTATAACTGTAATGTACATTTTCTTTTTACATACGTATGAAACTTTCTTTGAGTGTGAATAAAAAATGGTTATAATTTCCTTGGTAGTGTGAGGGCAATCTGTGATGTCAAACCTCGGAGGCTACTCTTTTCAGTTGTATATTTTTGGTCCTCTGCCATAGTGACAAAACATCTAAGCATTTTGTATGGCAGTACTCACACAATGCCAAAGGGACGATGCATTTTGGGGGCACCGACTATTCAGATCAGAAAGAAATGTAGTTTTGACACATGAGTGAACTGTTTTAGGAGAGATCATCGGGAGAGATATGAGCTTTTGCAGGAAAACCATGTTGTTGTGATCAACCATCCAGGTTTATTTTGACAAAAACACCAGGAATGATGAGAATGTCCCAACTGTGTTGAGAAATGAACTATTGAGAAGGATCTTTGTCATTGTGGGGACAGTGACTTTTTAAATGAGAAAGGGATTTAGATTGAAGCCTGAGTGAAGAGTTTTGGAAGAGATATGAGCTTTGGCATGTGAGTTAGTGTTTTGCTAAACTGTACGAGTGTTTCGCCAAATGATCTTAGAGGTTTGAGAATGTGATTTCTGTTTCAAGAAATGAGCCAAACCAATGGAGAAAAACTGTAATTAAAAACGGGTGACCTTAAACTAGACAACACTTTAATTAGTAAAACAGAAACAAATACCAAAACACTCTGGCTAGCACATACTAAAGCTAACTTCGATACAACGTGGTCATTTTCATACATCCAACTGTTTTAGTGACAAGTGAAGAAAGGGTGAGTGTTTTCCAACAAATCCACAGTTATTTGAATTTTTGTTTAAAATACTAGTGTTAGCTAGTTTCAAAACTTAATAATAGCTTAGACAACAAGTTGTCATCGTCTGTTAGCTAGCTACGAGATCAATATTTAGTTACGTGATAGCACAGTGATCATTTGTAAGCCGAGAAACAAAACGAGGCTCGATTCAGTTTTAGAGCGGGGAAACCTTTAGCTAAAATGCCTTACCTCCGGCTAGAAGCTATCACCTGGGAGGTAGTAAAACGCCAACGTTTCTCTTGACAACGGATATGGTTCAGTTGCGTTCAGGCTCAGACTGAACCCTCACGACACGCACCAAACAGAAAACAAAAACGCTTGCAGCCGGGATGCTAATTGTACTCATTGTGTAAAACATTTATAATAGCTTCTTAATTTATTAATACGTATATTTGGCAAATATGATTATCCAAAACTGAAAAATATATGTTGAATTTAGTTTTAAATTTGAATAATACGACTATTGTGAACATAGCATTTCAAATATGTGAACTCATGTTGCTGCAGCGACGCTTAGAGTTAGGATGTTGTACTGCAGTCCAACTGTAACCTGACTCGAGTCAGAGACTTGTTTTTAGTTAGTTAGTTAGTTAGTTAGATAGATAGATAGATAGATAGATAGATAGATAGATAGATAGATAGATAGATAGATAGATAGATAGATAGATAGATAGATAGATAGATAGATAGATAGATAGATAGATAGATAGATAGATAGATAGATAGATAGATAGATGATAGATAGATAGATAGATAGATAGATGATAGATAGATAGATAGATAGATAGATGATAGATAGATAGATAGATAGATAGATAGATAGATAGATAGATGATAGATAGATAGATAGATAGATAGATAGATAGATAGATAGATAGATAGATAGATAGATAGATAGATAGATAGATAGATAGATAGATAGATAGATAGATAGATGATAGATAGATAGATAGATAGATAGATAGATAGATAGATAGATAGATAGATAGATAGATAGATAGATAGATAGATAGATAGATAGATAGATAGATAGATAGATAGATAGATAGATGATAGGTCTTATATGCAGTTTAATCCCACAGCACGATGCTACAGATGTCACAACTTCTGAGAGAGCATGCAAATGGCATGCTGACTGCAGAAATGTCTACCAGAGCTGTTGCCTGTGAAATGAATGTTAATTTACAACCATAGTTGTAGACCATGTGTTACCACACCCACTCAGAACCTATACATCCAGCATGTTCACCTCCATGATTGTCTTAGACCAGGGGTGTCAAACTCAAACTCACAAGGGGCCGAAATGAAACTCTGGGACGGAGTCCAGGGCCAAACTTAATATTTTTGAAAAAGTGATGGCAAATTTGCACATTTTATTTATCAACATATATGCAATTTTGAACCTTTAAATTTGGAAACAAACATATTTCTGCATTAACACTGAATGTGGAATAACCAAATTACACACAAGCAAGTCCGTTTTAAATAAAAGGCATCAGTGGTGTTCATTACTTGTGGTATAATCAGCATTTTTTAAAATCTATTCAGGATTTATGTTTTCTTGTTTATTCATTTTTCTTATTTTTTTATTCTCCTTTTTTCTCCTGTAATAAGTGTCATCGCTGCTGGGACGTCTAGCTTTCCCCACTGAGGAACAATAAAGGGATTTTCTATTCTACTCATCTATCTGCAGCCTTTCCACTTCCTGTTTACTGTAGGTTAAATCTTTTCTCACGGGCCAACAACAAAATAAAAATATCATTTTATCTTAAATGAAAATGCAACATCTCACCTGTTAACTTTCATGTTTTGGAGCAAAAAACGAGCATAAAACCAACATATTTAAAGCTCAGTTTGTTCCACTGGTTTACTGTGATGCTCACCTGTTCTAGCCAGATACCTGCATCATGGGGTTGATCTGAGCTGAGGAGGAGACTCCTGTTGTTTTGTTCATCTTCATCATAATAATGAAAACATTAGATGACAACAGGTGCTCACATAGGTTTGTGCTGATGAGCATGTCTGAGCAGCTTGACCGCGTTGTTGTGTGTCGGGGAGGAAACACAACGACAGCAGCCACAGAGCCGTGCTGGTTTGAGCGTGTCGCTGTTCGCTGGAGTTATATCGGCTCTGTCTGGACGTTAGTTGGAACACTTTTTCTTTCAGTCGTGAACACATTACTGAGCGGCTAGAATCTCCGTTTCTGGGCTTCAACGTCAGAAAACAGCTGAGTGAACTCAGCGCTGAGTGAGAGGAGTGTAGTTTGTCTGAGACAGCGGAGCTGCAGAGACCGGCAGCAGGCGGAAAAAACACAAAGGAGGGGACGTCGTCGGCTCCACGCTGACGCCGCAAAGCATCATGGGAGTTGAAGTCTTTGCGGTAAAATCGGCCAGCGGGCCAGTTTTAATATATTTTTGATATTTATCTCGCGGGCCACATAAAAATGCTCCGCGGGCCGCATCTGGCCCGCGAGCCTTGACTCTGACATCTGTGTCTTAGACCATCCACTCGGTCAGCTGCAGCAACAATCAGTTTGCAAAACCAAAGAATATCTGCACAGTTTTTTACAGTAAGTATACAAAAATATGTACAAAACTACAGCTAGAAGGCTTTTTCATACAATGTCAGGAATGCAGAACTGTCAAACACACAGGTGGTAGGAACAGCCAATCACACGTTAGGAAGTATCAGAAGAGCCAGTAGTTGAGTTTATGGATGGTTCTAACAGGAAACAGGCTTCAACACAAGCGGTTGTTTTCTGCTTGGTCCTAGTGCTACACCAGTGTCTATTTAATACAGCAGCTTAATGTTGGATGGTAAAAAGTGCAGGGAACAAAAATGTACTTTGGAAAAAGTGGGAGGTACATGTCCCCCTAAAAGAGTTCTACCTCTTTAACAGGATTAGTACTTTCCTCAAAAACCAGTATCAAATATGATCCCCTGCCCTCTGGTGGATGATCGAAGTACTACAGGATGCAAGTGTTGGTTTATTATCAATAATTTAGAATTATTTATTTACTACAAAAAAAGTTAGATTTTTTTTATCTATTGAGGTTGATTTCTTTCTACTGTAAGTGTAAAATTTAAAAAAAAAGCATGTTATTTGTTTTACTTGTGTTTTTAGGAGGACACACTGCTTGAGATGTAATGTCTCGTTTTCGAGCAGGACCTCCTTCAACACAACCAATAAAGAATAAGATACCAATGACCAATGCTTCTTTAAGAGTAGTTTAGCTGTACGGTTACACGATAGCGTGACACTAAAAAGGATCCAAAACTACTTTCTATCCTAGTTGTTAAGCAAAAGTTAAAATCCCAAGAGTCCTGTAGTTGACCCAAACGTGAACAGTGTTGTTTGTAAACCCTGAAATATTTTGCCCTGTATAACTTCAGCAAATACAGAACACTGGGTTTTATCTCTAAAACCAGCCACTGCATGTAGTAAATAATACATCAAGCCTTGAGAGGGAGAGAGTAGATCAGATCGTGTACACGATGGCTAGAGGGTGGTGAGAAGGGAGAAGGCAACATGTTGCAGGCCAGAAGAGAATATGTTTTTAGTCGTGTAAAAACATTTCAGGCAAATAGGTTTTGTATAAAAAGCAAAACAACAACAAAATTTGAAACATCGTGTCTAAGTAAAACTAATTAGGAGGTTATTCTAGTGTGAACTACGTTCACAAGCAAAGTGTTTGACAAGATGTTTAACTAAACTCGTACCTAAAACCTCCAGAGGGACCATGGTGGCATCCTAACAGTATAAAACACCTCAGCAGACTCCTCCTGACGCAGCAGTTCCACTTTGAGCTTCGCCTCGGATGGCGATCCTCACCTTATAGCTCTCAGGCTCACTGCTGCCACCCTATTTTCGTATCCAAGACCTTTTATTCACTATCCAAATCCAGGGTTGGAATGTTGATGGATCAGTAAATCGAGAGCTCTGCTTTTCAGCTCAGCTCCTTCTTTACCACAACCAGAGTGTTGTCTTCAGCACTTCAGCCCAATCTCTCACACCAGCTTGTGAACAAGACACCAGGATGTTTAAAGTCCTCCGCTTACAAACCTCGCTTCAAGCCTGGAACCGCTATGGGCCCGCCTATGCATGCTGGCTGGGAAGGACCATTTTGGGGGACTGAGCCATGCTTTAAGACTGGGACTGTCACAATCAGCTGCAAACCAACAAAGGTCAAAGGTTAAAGATTCAAAATGAATCATATTCATGAGTAAGTTGCTTTTGTTTAGATCTGTGGTTCCCAGTGCTGATCTAAAAAAAATCTCAACATTTTTGTTTTGGTTTGAGATTTTTGGAGAAAATTCCAAATTAAGTCCTTTTATGAAAGATAAAAGTTAGCTTAGTTCCTCCTTTTACCATTTCATTTGTCTATTGTTAATTTCTATTTGATTCGGCCAACCTCCAGCCATTCTTTGACCAGTTTGATGTAGTTATTATTCCAAAAGCAGGAGCCATTTTTTACATTTGCTGTTTAGACTAATAGTTTATTATTATTTCCACACGGGGTTTCTTACAGAAAACATTAAGGTAAATGATCTCATTCAGAAAAACGGGACTGCTTTTAATGCACCAATCCAAACATCCACAGCAGGTGTTAACTCGTAAATCCATCCAGGCACAAATAGGTGCAGATGAATCCACCTCCATCTCCTCCTGGAGAATTATCGTCTTCCTCATGAGGCAGCTCCAGCGCCAGGGTCTAAAAGTAATCAGTCTCAAGCGCAAGTGACCCTCCTGTGATTGCCTGCAGGTTTTCACAAAGGGACCCCGCTGCCTCCATTCCCATCCTATCTCCCATTCATCCATTCATCTGCCGCACCACGCTGCCTGGAACGGCTCCCTCAGGGGTTGATGCAGCCCAGCCATGCCGTTTTATCAACGCTCCTTAACAAAGACGGCGGCGGCGTCCCTCGGTCAGCCTGCGGTGACTCATTGCGCACGGTCAGTCCGTCAGGGCGCTCGGAGTTTGCGCTCGGCATCGGAGGATCGATACCTCTAAAGACTCATATTCTGCTGGAAGGCGTGGCTTGGTGTAACAGACACAAGGTTGCTTTTTTCCCATATTCATTCCCAGGCTCAAGCCTCACCTCTCCATCACGAGCGTGCCAAACGGAAGCCGCCTGCACGGGACATCAAGGTAAACCTTACGTTTCTTGTTTTTAGAAGAGCAGTCTTCGATGCGATGTTAAATTCATCTGCAAGGTCAAATTAAATCAGTGGCTTTTGAATGGAACAAGTGCAGAACATGACACAGATGTTAATTGGCCTGAATAGGTCGAGAGCATCACTGATGGTGTATTGAATTCACACTGATTGTGCATGCTCTCCGTTTTCTACTGTTTCCTGCAAACTGCTGCATGAAAAAAGGCAGCAAAGCATCTGATTGTCGAAAATCTATCCACATTCAGAATGTGCATAGTGGCGCACACACACACACACACACACACACACACACACACACACACACACACACACACACACACACACACAATTATTCTGTTTGATGAGTGATGAAGGATTGACCATTTTCTTTGACATGTTAAGAAGACATATTGTGACTGAGTCCTTCAACAGGCCTTGGAACAGAAAATGGGCCAAATTCATTCTAAATGTCATAAAGACAAATAGTTTAGGATCAAATGAGAGCTATGTGTCAAAGCAACATACCACATCTTCACATAAACATTTAATAATGTGATTTATTTATAAAAGGACATTTTGCACAGATAGACAGATTTTAAATAGATTTTTTGAACACCTAAAAAACCTGAAAGAGTCTAATGTGGATTCCTGAATGACCTCTTTTTAAAGAAATATAATTTTTATCCAACATGACTGACGAGCTAATGGCTAGTCCAAGTGTGGCAAAGAATTGCTGCTATCTAAAATTCTCCCTCTCCTGATAATAACTTTTTGCTTTCCTTGACGTTGAATGTGCTACTGCTAGTTTACCCGTTTAATTATAGATCCACTAGGATACATACAATAAAGTGTATCTCTCGCCAAATAGAATATTTACTAAGAAATCACAATATAACTATAGACACATTACTTTGTCTTGTGTGTGTGTGTGTGTGTGTGTGTGTGTGTGTGTGTGTGTGTGTGTGTGTGTGTGTGTGTGTGTGTGTGTGTGTGTGTGTGTGTGTGCGTGCGTGTGTGTGTCTGCTCTGTCTTCTCGATCCCCAGTGAGTCGTGGTGGATGGCTGCTTATACTGAGCCAGGATCCTCTGGAGGTTTCTTCCTGTTAAAAGGGAGTTTTCCTCTCCACTGTCGCTGCATGCTTGCTTAGTATGAGGACTGCTGTATAGTCATTGACACTAGTCAGTGACTTGATGCAATTTGCTGGGTTCCTTATATAGGAAACATTATTTCTGATTGGCTTAATGAACTGACCTGAATTGGAATGTTTATTATGTGAAGTGCCTTGAGATGACACTTGTCGTGATTTGGCGCTATATAAATAAAATTGAATTGAATTAAAAACAGCTCCTTTCTCCCAAATTAAAATGTTAAGGTTATTTATAAATCTTTGCAAAGCCTTTAAGTCAGGTAGGTGTTCACTGTGCAATCTTTGGCTCCTGTTGAACAGATTTTCCTCTCGTGCCAGAATCTTTGAGGTTGTGGTTCATACAGGGGGCAATGAGAAGCAATTAACTCCTCACAACCAGTTCTTGATCAGCAATCGTGTGGTTGCACAAAAATCAAACATGTTTGATATTCTGCTCCTCTTTCGTGAGGGTATCTCACTGTTGAAAGAGCATTGTGACCCAAATGTGCCAGAACCACTCACGCAGTTCATGAGCCAACATGTCTGCCCGGCTATTTCCGTGTCCACACCTGTCGTCTGTTTTTATTTACACTTTTCACTGTAGTCAGTGGCAAGGATTGTCAAGAAAGCATGTTTGCTGGGTTTATGTTAAATAAAACAAATCCCAAAACCTCCGTTCCTTTTATTCATCTTTCTACTCCAACCCACATAAACCCCTGTGTGTTTTCCTACATCTACGGCAAGCCTGAAGGACATTAGACATCAACAACAGCACAACAGTCTCTTGGCCTTGCAACAAAGTCATACAGTTTGATGGAGCTGAATACGACTGAAAAAGCTGCACAGTGTACACCTAGCTTAAGTTTGACTAGCATGGTCATGGAGTTATACGGTTATTTACCAGAGAAAATATTACCAGCAGCACTTCCAAAGAAACCAGGGGTCTGGCAGGAATTTCATAAATCGATGGCAAATAAAAAGTCTGGAAAATAACACGAGTTGCTATAAAATTCAGGAGGCTGTTTTACAGCAATACACTTTGATTTTGACTGCACTCAGACTAGCGGTTAGCTCATCATTCCTGGAGGTAAAATCTTATCCCGAAAAAGAAAAGGAAAGTTTTAAACACAAATAAAATAAAGATTTTTTAAAAATAGAACTTAAAAAAAAAAAAAAAAACAATCTTCAAAATGTTTGAAATTTGCCTTCAGTGCAGTCATACATCCATGAGCTCTCCTTTCATTTGGAATTACGGCATTCTTGTTCTGGGATTTCTTCCAGCTTCATGTTTTATTTTAGATTTAAATGCAATCAGTTGGTTAGAAACATGTCAAAACAATGTCAACGTGTTATTAAAGCAGAAGAAAGGCATCATAAATGTATCATATGTATTCAAGGCAGAGTCCAGCCGCCTCAGGGATAGGTACAAAACCTTTTGTTTTTTAATAATAACAAAAACAGCACATCCCATCAGAGGAAAGAACTAGAACATGTACACGGTTTTGAAATAATGATTTAAAAACTTGCATTTATATAGCTGCTAGTTTTTTTTTTGTTTCCTTTTAGTTGAAGGTTGTTTTCCATGTTTAATAATGTTTATGTACTTTTCATAATGCAGTCTGTCCTGCACCTGTTATCTTTTTAAGTTTTGTGTTAAGTCAACATTAATTATAGCTAAGTCTATTTCTTTTTCCTCTTTTCTCAGAAAGCTGCGCAAAGAGGCCATCCGTGCCTCGGTTTCTCTGAAAAACAACAATATTCAAAGACCAAAACAGTGAAATCAACATGGGAACAAACCCAAAACGGACAGTGACGGTCCAGATGGTGCCTGAGTTGGCTGTGGTGGACTCACTGGGAAATAAGGAGTCTAACGCCAACTGGGATAACGAGCCCCACCTCATCGTCTCTCAGGTCTGTCCAAACACTGCTCTTATGTCCCCGGAGCAGCTGGACGAACCGTCTCTGGCTACTGCTTCCTCCAACATCCTCCCACCTACCGATAAAACAGCTCCTAAAGGAGGCGAAGCAGTTAGCAGCATTGTGTCAGAAAACCCAGCACTAGGAATCAGAAACCAGACGAAGTCTGAGCCGAGTAAAGGTGACAACCAACACAACCTGTCCCTGACAGGTCAAGCAACGGGTGACCAGAAGGATTCTAACGCTAACATAAAAATACAAAGCCCAACTCATGGAATGGATGTGTGCAAGGCCGGTCTGCCAGCTGCTGTTGCCGCTTCAAAAGTCGAAGTGCAAAGCGATGACAGTCGAGTGAAAGGGCCAAGTCCACCAGAAGAGGATCGGGTAAAGCTGACGTCCTCACCTACCACACAGAAAACCAGCGATAAACACATTTCAACAAATGACACACATCAAAATAACCCTAGGGAGGTAAGGAAGGCGACAGCTGACTCACAAGACATCAAAGAAGGTGTTTCGGCTTTCAGAAACTCAGATTCTGCAGCTTCACAGAAAGCCGACGCGTCAGATAAAGTAAGCTCAGTCAAACCTGAACAAAGCACTGAAACTTTAACGTCCCACACCTCCACCAAACCTCCATCCACGAGGAAAGAAGAAGTGAGCAAGACTAAAAAGGAGAATTTGTGTTTAACACATCCAGAGAAGAACTTCCCAGTGGCAAAGACAGAGGTCTCCTTGGATAAACATCATCCAGCGTCTTCACACCAAGATTCCCCCGCTCTGCCCCAGGCCACCTTAAGCATGTCAACATGTGGGCAGGTGGCGGAGAAATCTGGCCAGACTGAGGCAGCCGGCTTTGCAGTAGAGCAGCACTGCAAGCTCTACAGGGAAGCGTCAACTATGACCTCATTGCTGTCGCCAGCCCCGCTCAAGCAGTGTCATGATATGGAGGTTCAGGCTGTGGCAGATACATCCAGTAAATCTGTGGCCACAAGTCCCAGTCTGCTGTCCTTCAATGTGGCTCGAAGGCCAAGCAGCGGCACGGTCCCTCGGGAGGAGGCGCAGAGTCTGGCTGTAATGTACTCGGCTAACGATGGTCTGGGTTTCCATCAGATTTACGCATCGTCTCTATCTGGTGATCAGGTGTCGGATAGACTAGGTGTCAAAACAGAGTTGGGCTCCAACCGAAATGCTGCTTTCAGCTCGGAAACGTTGCCCCAGCAGCTAGACTCCAGGCTAGGAGCGAAGCCTAAAGAGCCAGGATCGGCTCTGTGCAGCATTCAACCGGTTTATCAGATCAACATCGAGCACAGCACCCACAAAAAGCACAATGAGACGAGCGACTCCCATCACAAGAGCGGAGCTGAAACGTCTTTGACTAAAACCTCCCCTGCTGAAGCTCCCTCTGTCGGAGCAGCAGCGGTTGTTGCTTGTGCTGACAAAAACAATGCTACGCTGTCTCAGGCTGCTGTTACAACCAAAGCTGAGCAGGCCCTGCCTGCAACAACAGCGGCGACAGCAACCAAGTCAGGTCCAACCAAAAATAAAGAATCAGCAAAGGAGAAAAATTTGAGCAAACAGGCAACAGAATTAAAAAGTAGCGACAAGGACGGCATGTCAGGGAAGCAGACCGACAAAGGCGTCCAAGACGTAGTCTGGGACGAGCAAGGGATGACTTGGGAGGTCTATGGTGCTTCTGTGGACCCAGAATCTCTTGGCTTTGCGATTCAGAGCCACTTGCAGTGTAAAATCAGGGAGCAGGAGAGGAAACTGATGGCCCAGGCCTCCTTCAGAAAGTCCCTTTCTGGTGTGGATTCGCCACAACAGGGCAAAAAGAACAAAAGGAGGCAGCAGAACATTTTCAGGTCAATGCTGCAAAACGTCAGGCGGCCCAACTGCTGCGTGCGTCCCTCTCCCTCCTCCGTCCTCGAGTAGCGCCGCACAGGGGTGGCCGATGTGAGACTTCTGTGTTTTCCTATGGGTCACGGGGTTTGCCCTTGCACTGTCGTGACTGTGGCGGGGAGTGAATCATTACTGGGACTCTGGTCCGTACCAGTAAGTATACAGTAATGTTGTAGCATAAAGAGCTGAAATGTGTGTGATGTTTGTGAACAAAGATGTAGGATGTAGAAGCATAAGACGAAAACTAGAAAGACATATTTTCTAGAAATAGATGTTATAAAAAGAGAAAGAAGTTTTTTAACAGAGGCAATAACAGTGAAGCATGTATCTTAGTTTCAAACGCATCTGTGCAACTTCAGACGTTCACTGTAAAACAATCATGAGCTAGACACCTTATATCTGCTGTGAGAATATCTGTGCAAATATATAAAGCTAACACGTCTCTACATGTGTTGCATTTGGTTTATGTTCTCAAAGTGATTTGGGGCCTGATATTTGTTTTTTTCTTGCATTCGTTTATTTTTAGTAAACTCACTGTTTAATCTCTGTTAGTGTTTGGAATTTCTATTAAATATGATCAAACTTTCCTGGCTTTCACACATTTTTCCTTTATGATACAAAAGTTCAGAATCATTTGCAAGACAGCTGAAATGCTTAAAAAAGTAGTTCATTTAAATTGACCCAAAATACATCTGATTTAACAGTTTTTAGTGTCTTAAGCGTTCTCTGTGGTTACTTATTAGACTTTGAAGCAATAATCCAGATATTCTGATTTAGAGTTGTATGACCATCTTATCAAATATCAATATCTCACATGTTGTAGATAATGCTTAGACTAAAATCAGTTTGGGCTAAAGGCTAGGCTGAGTCACAGAGTGGGTTACTAGCATCCAACCAAATCAAATCTAAAAACAAAATAAATCAAGGTTTTGGGATCACTTTTAAATGGAAGTATTTGATTAATCAAATGTGCAATGGGTAAGAAGTTTACTGTGAAATAATCACAAAACAGTCTAATTTCTCAATCATGTTGAAAGGAAGGTTACATAAACAGATTTCCTGTCAGTTTTTTTTTCCTTTCAAAAAGACCCCAAAGTGACATCTGCCCAATCCTAATACTCCCACTTCCACCCTTGTGCCCTTCAAATGCGCGTTCCAGTCCAGGGGTGCGAGTGCATAGGGTGGCCCGATCCTCAAGTGCTGAAGTTGACCACGCCCCTTTTGTACCCTTGATCCGCACTTTAGCGAACGGCATTATCCACAATCCATTGCTGTGTTGGAATTTTGAGAAGAAGGTGGAACAATGGCTCAAGCCCATCTGAAAATATGTATTTTCAAATGAAAGAAGTTCATTTTAAGACAATTAATGATGTTTATTCATGCTCTGAATGTTTTAGACTAAGATTTAATACGGACAGCAGTGAATGTAAATTTCGTCAGTTGTTTGTTTGGAAGTTGTTTTTTAAGTAGCAGAAACAGCGATCGGCATCTTGGCATGCATCATGGTTTATGATGCAATGGTCTCTGTCCCAATCTGGCACTCATTTGTGTACACTTGTGTGCTACACACTTAAAGCCTTACTGCACACTTCCTCCAAGTGCACTTCACAGTAGACCGTAGGGCGCAGTGCGAGTATTGGGATTGGGCCGTAGACTTTGCTTAAAATCTGTCCTGCCTCCATACTTCCAGGTTCCACAGCCAATCACATGGGAGCCCATACAATTGCCAAGTCTTTTACTCTAATATCAGGTAAAGAAGGCTAGAGGCTAACACTGAGCTAACAATGCTAACAATGAATTAGAAAAAAAGCCAGTTCCAAAAATTTCTCAAGCTACTTTTTCAATTACCAACAACTAGATATTACAGTGAAACGGTTTTATCTACTTAGCAGCGTATTGTGTAAGTCTTCGTCATCTAGACTCTTCTGGCACTGATCCTTAAAGCCGGGCGTACACTGTGCGACTTTTTCACTTTTTTGAGTCGATTTTCCACTCGTGCGAGAATCCACAAGATCGGGGCGAGTTGCAACGTGTAGTATACAGGGGGTTACACGAGGCGATTAACACCACGTGACCAGCTACCGATCAGCAATCGTGAGCTCGCACGGACTTCCGGGGTGTGTGAAATTTGGCTCGTCCCTCGTGAGAGTTGAAGCGGCGCTGCGAGCGGCTGTGACCCAAAAAGTGTCAGAACCGCTCATGGCGCATGCGCTATCCTGCGTCAACACCGCTCGCCGGCTATTTCCTTACTAACACACATTGTTTGTTTTTATTTCTACACTTTTTTTACACATTCAATGACAAGGATTGTCAAGAAAGCGTGTTTGTCCTGTTCATGTCAAATTAAACTGATCACAAAACACTAATTTACTGTCTTTCTTTCGTTTTCCTCCTCCAACCCCCACAAATCCCTGTGTGTCCTACTGCAGCACTCCCAAAGGACAACAGACATCAATAACAACAAAAGTCTGACGTGTTGTGTAAAAACTGCTATTTTGAGCATATTTCTAGGTCTGACGTGTTGCTACCAGACGTACAGTGTGAGCAGTCAGGTCGCATCCGAGAACTGGGTCGTACAGTGTTAGCGCCTGGCTCGTGAGATCTGCCCTGCGAGGAAGTCGTACAGTTTGAGCTGAAGCTGAGTGCTATGAGTGAAAAAGTCGCACAGTGTACGCCCGGCTTAACTGTCAACAGCCATGAGACTTAAGGGGATGGGGGGAGGGGCTGAGAGCAGACACTTTTTTTTGATCTATTGACGACTATATCCAAATTTGACCACAAGATGTCACTCTTACTTAACACACCTTTAAGAGCGCAAACAGCTAGCTGAAGAAGCTCTAATATCATAATGTTTCCACTGCAATAACTACATAATTTAAACGGTGACAAGGTTCGTCAACAGCGTTTCCTTAAAATAAAGTAAAAAATCATGACAATGAAATCCTTTTTTTCCCATGGCAGCAACCATTTTGGTTCTGGCCCAGATTTAACTAGCTGTTGGCTCATCTCTTCGAAAATAATTTAAACTTTATTTCTCCAAACCAAAGATGTTGAAGGAGCCACACCAGATTTTCACTGAATCCCACTAAAATGCAGAAAACTGTCTAATCAACAACAAAAAATAAATGATGATAGTATTTGGTGAGAATTTTAGCAAATTATAATTTTTTTTTTTTTTTTTTTTTTTTTTTTACGTGTCCTGTCTGGCTGTGAAGCAAGCAGAATTGATGTCTGAATGCTGGTGACAAGCCTTACAGATTTATTCTCAGGTGGAGCGTCAAAGCGTTTGCTTTTAATGTCACGCCTGATACTTAAAACTTTATTGTTATTGTTGTTGAATGCTTTGTAATTCCGACCAGACACGGAGACAGAGGTGAAAGAGAAAGGAAAAGAAAAGGTGGGGTGAGAGAGAGAGAGGGGGGGGAGGTTCCACAAAAATAAACAAAAATGAACAAGAGTCTGCTTCTAGACCTGCAGAAAAAAAGACAAAAAAAAGGGACACAACAACAATACAACAAGATCTACCTATCACTGCGTCAACTTGATGAAAAGAAAAAATATATATATATAATCAATATTGCTTAACTGAAGAATCACGATAATAAATCACAACGCATTAAGTGCCCACCATAGTCTTAAGACCTGTGTTTAACGTGCCCAAGCCCATACTTTTGAGAGCACCATGTGAGCACCTGTGTGTGTACACGCGCTTGTTTATTTAAGGTTTTTCTATAGGAGCGCCCAACAGAGAGTGTGAGGGACCACAGATCCGCCCCCCAAAGATGCGCAGGAGACGGGGGAAGATCCAAGTCCCAGAGATCCAGGCGCTGCCCCAGAACGCAGGAACCCCAAGGAGACTGCAACCAGGAAGGCCCCCGCCCCCCTCGAGAGGCACAGAGGATCGCCCCGGGGGGCCACAACCAGCAGCCAGCAGAGTCCCTGGAGATATCAGCGGCAAGCCCACAGGCCTGCCCGCAGCCTCCCACCCCCTAGCCGGCCGAGCCCGGGACCCAGCGACCCAGGACCCAGGGGCGACCACCCCTGCCGGGGACCCAGCAGAGCCCAGGGACCCAGACCCCACCAGGCAGCCACCGGGATCTATCAGGCAGATGCCAAAATCTTAAACCCCCAGACCCGGTTGCCACGAACACTCAGGCAGACCAAGGCACAAGCCCCCACACCAGGTGTGGCAGGGGGAGGGGGGACAGAGATCTATATCATCAAGAGAAGTTCCAGGAGAGGGGAGGACCCAAAGGCCCCACCTGACATCTACAGTCATACACAAACACAGCCACACGCTCCCTCCCTCATGCTCACACATGCACATACAACCCAAGACTTACAAAAATGCATGCCGGACACCCACTCATGCTCCCCATACACACCCTATTCACTCTGGTCCCGGTACTGCTGCACATTGGGTACAACCATCACCGGTAACCAGAGTTTGACCCTTTCTGCTGGGGTGCTGATGAGCAGGCTCCCCCGCCCAACGCTGAGCACAGCAACCCACCACCCCAGACCCCAGCCAGACGGCCAGATCTCCCTCCTAGCCTCCAGCCCCAGGAAGCCTAGCAACAACAGAGGTGGCTAAGACCCCTAGTCTCCCTCCGCCTGCTCCAATATAGTGTTGTGTGATCATGAGGTGTATTCCATGGCTGTGGTGAGTGGGCAGTGCGGGCATCATCCAGCATATGCCAGCTGATGCCACTGCACCACCCCACTTACACCCTCAGCCATCAGTGTCTAAGTGCGGTTTAAAATTGGAAGTGGGCACCGGCACTCGGGAGGAGGCTGAAATATCCCCCTGCCAAATGCCGTTGAATGTGCTCACTCCCAAGGCCCTAAGTGTGTGTTTGTGTGGAATGTCGTCAGTGGAAGTGTATAAGGTGCAAATAAAATTGGGGGGCAGGTTTCCACAGGAATGCGGAAATGGGGTCCATACCCGCACTCCCTGACTTGCCTACCCCCAAAGGTCCTATGTGTATGTTTGTGTGATGATGTGAGGGAGCAGGAGGAGAGAAATTTGCGGGGATGGGGAGGAATGGCTGGTTGGGCCGGCCCCGTGTGGGGATCTGGGCGGGGCCTTGGGGGTCGGGTCCTGACATGTATGCTGCCGGGAAGAAGGCAGGGACACCCAGCAGTGCCTGGCTCGGGTTCGGGGGCCTCAGGTAGAACTTGGCTCCTCTGCCATTCCATCACAGGGGAGGGGGAGGTCCAGGAGGGGGAGGACCCAACCTTACCTGGATGTCCCATGTCTTATATATTCTGGAAGTTGTGCAAATGCAGGGGTGGGCATAGATATTCTGCTGGGGTGGGGTTGGGTTGGTGCCCTCGGACTCCGTGAGGCTCTGTAATACTGCTGCTTTGGGCCCTGGCAGGATGGGCTGGGGTCTCCATGCCCTGGGTGGCAGTTGGACAACAGAGGTGCCTATTGGGGCCAGTAGGGGAGCTGGCTCCCTGGAGGGCTAAGCCCAAGCAAATTATAATTTTGAGTTTAAATGAGCAAATCATTGTAAGAGGGGACGTGCTTTTTCATGCAAAACAACACTTTAATTATGAGAGAAATGGATGTGATCGGGGATA